CCCCCCCCCCCCCCTCACTCAGTTCAAAATATTTGGAGGGGAAGGAAGTTTGTATTTTCCCTCCCCTACAGGCTACAGTCCACTAAAACCAAACACTCCTCAAGCCAAAATCATCTGTATCCTTCCCTTTCTCTCACTCCCCTCCCCTCGAACCCACCATGCCCTAAATGATTGAATGAAATTGATTAACTGGTCTAATCAAAGACCACTCACATGTTTCTTTTTGTATACTTCTGTGTGGGGCTCATAAATATATCATTGATGGCCAGTGATGTTTAACATCTTAATTGATTATTGTTGCAGCTTGGAGATGCGAGAAGAACGGAGGTTGGAAAATCGTCGAGAGTTTGCTAATATATGGTCGGATGCTGTATTTGGGATCTCATTATTCCTTCTCTTGTACTTCAATAAGAGTAAGGTAGGCTGCCATCCCATTCTTGAATTTACTATTATCTTTATCTTTGATACACTGAAAATCTGCTCGGCATGTGTTATGTAGGTGGCTTTGCTCAAATTCACCGGTTACAAGATAATAAATAATATATCTTACACAATGAAGGCAGTGTTAATTATACTTGTCGCCGATACAATTTTAGGGTAAGTGTTTATTTGGTATCATTTCCATCACTACATGTCTCTTAAATTGTGCTACCGTAGTTGAGTTGCTTGCTAGTTTGATGAGTATAGCTATAGGTAAAGAAATAAAGAATGACCCTTGAAGAGAGCTTAACTCTTGCAAGAAACATGGTTAAAACATGCTTAACTCTCTCATTTTTCATTCTTTGATGAATTTATTTTATTTATGTTTTGGCCCATAAAGTGTGAAGTCGTTTGACATTAAAAGAATGTACTCCTGTCCCAAAAAGATGAACATGTTTGACTTTTCTTGGTCAACTTTTACAAACATTGACTAAAATTTTCCGAAAAGATGTATCTAGTTTTAAATTTTATTTTATTTTCATTAGATTCTGTTTTGAAATGCACTTTTGAAATATCATAGTTTTATAATACGGAGAATTATTCATGTGCAAAATAGTTATAGCACTGCTTTGAAGATCATGAAAGTGAAATGGGGGCATCTTCTTGGGACTGATGGAGTATTAAATCACAACCCAACATTTTTTAAGACATTACAATGTTAGGATGCTTCTCCTATCAAGACGACTGATATTTAGGCTATAATAATTTCAAGTGTTGATACAAAGGCTGTAGAACAAGCCTTCTACTAAACTTTTGCTATCTATACTAAATTTGATTTCATGTACTAATAATAATAATAAATTCAGGTATCACTCAGCAGTTGGTTGGGAGGCTTTGGTAGATGTTATCTTGGAACATTACGGGCTTGAGGTTGACGAGGCTGCCATAATCATATTTGTTGGCATTGTTCCGGTTGCAATTGATGCATACATCAAGTATTGGGTATGTTTGTGTTGGAACTGGATCCAATCATTCCTGCAATCTTCATATCAAATTATTTATAGATTAAGCTATTTCATAAGCATACCTGAATACATCCATCCATCCATCCGTATAGATTTTAAAGATTTTAAAAATAAAATGATACCGTATATTAACTCATATAATATATATTAAGAATAATAAAACTACTATTGTTTGGGTCAAATAACATACCATAAATCCAACATGCTTTGCAACTTACATTTTGCATCCTTGATCATATGATAGTCTGTCTTTTTTCGTTTTTGTTTTTCAGATCTTTACGAAACTACCAAAATTATCACAAGAGGTTGCGACTATGGTGTATAGAATTGGGAGGCATTAGAAAGATTATTATTGTCCTCTCCTCTCCTCTGCAGCTGCACCCATTGGAATCTATAAAAGTACTTCAGCTGTTCCATTCTTCTTTCTGTCATTTTCTTCTCAATTGCCTATTTTTTTTTTAAAAAAAATGGTTATAGTCTTATAGAGATTATCCTAAGTATGGGTGTGAGGCCTATGTTTGAGCAATTGAATTGTGTCTTGGATGTGCATTCAAGCAATTTTGTGTACACTATAAACTTTTCCAACAATTATATGTATATTTTTCCCTTGTTTTCGCCAAATATAATAACAACAAACTCAGTAAAATCTCACTCAAAGAAAGGTCTGGGAAAGGGTGTGTTGATTGTGGTCGCAAACTTTATGCTACTACTAGTAGAGATGTTGTTTTCAAGAGACTTCCGGTTCAAATATAGAAGTACCAAGTACGGACAAGAAACTAAAAACGAAGTACAAACAGAGACAAAAAGAGAATACAAACCGAGAGAAATCATGTGTTTTTTGTTGTTGATGTTATTGAAATCGAAAGAAAATTTATTGTTCGAAGAAGTTACACAGTAATATAAATCACTCAATCCAACCATGTTTTACAAATGTACCATGTTAGTCTCACATTTTAGGCACTAAAAGAAACAAATCAACATGCCCTTACTATTTAGCAATCCCTTCATCCCATTATTTTTGCAACAAGAGGAGGTTACATGTGAATTAAGAAAAGTAGAATGATATGATTGATATTAAATACTTCATTCGGTCCTAAAAATTCTTCCTATTTTACCTTTTTTTAGTTAGATAATGACACTCTTTGACCTTAAATTAAGGATAATCTAAATAAATAAATGTTATAAACATTTGATATATTAAACCTATATCCTAAAATGAAGTGAATTATATTGAATTTATATTATAAATCAATATATTTTTTTCACAATTATTAGAAGTTGATTTTTTAAACTCAAAAGGACAGCCGTCAATGTTAGGAGATCTATTACACGCTTCGCTACATTAATCAAAACCACATAGTTTCATGTTTTTCATTTTAATAAAAAACAAATAACTTTTTTTTGAAGGTTAAAAAATACTCCGTAAAATAAAATAAAATAATTGGGTAGAGAAAAGAAACAATTGGGTGTACTAAACTCAGGGAGTTGGCCGTACCTTTCCAACACAGAGTTTTCAATGAGCAATCCGGAATGCAAAATTATTATGAAGTATTAATGATTGATATAGTTTTAAACTATATAATTTCTATTTTATATTCACACTAATTTTTCAATATTTATGAAACTTAAAACTTTTATAACCTTTCAAAAAAATAGTCAAATTAAACATCACAAACCGTAACGAGAAGTTAATTTTAGAACAGAAGAAGTATTAATAATATCAACATCATTTTTTTAAAACAAATCTTTCTCAATTGATAAATTTTTCAGATCATTCAACTTTTATTGTGGCATTAGTGCCCTCAAGTTGGTTTGATTATACTCCCTATTAAACTTTGAAAAATTTTGTTACCTCACAATTAGTACTCAGTTCAATAACTAATTGTAATACGGAGTATTTGGATAGCAATTTTGGGACTTTATAAAGTTAAGAATATCAATGACACAGATTGCCTCCTTTGGTAAAATCATTATAACACATTTAATTCATAATAACAATTATTTAAGTCAACATCAAATGAATCCTCACGAAAATATGTGCATTGAAATTTAGTACAAAAAATATTTTACTCCCTCCGTCCTAAAATTAATTTCTCAGTTTGATTTTTGTAGTCAAATTTTTTAAACTTTGACCGTATATTACAGAAAAAATATATTGAATTTTCATATAAATTTATTGGCAATATATTCATTTTGAAACATAGTTTTGAAATATATAATTTTTATAAAATATATTTATATAAAAATTGAGATATTGATGGTTAAAGTGTCATATTGGAGACCGTGAAAAGTCAAATGAGAAGTTAATTTTAGGACGGAGGGAGTAATTTTTTATCATTTAATCTACGATTTTTTATCGCCTAATGCTTTTAACTTTTTAAATCACTTCCATTCAAATGCTTTCAGCTTTTGTTTCATTAAAATGTATTTTGACGTGTTTGGCATTTTGCTTCTTTTTATAAATTGTCACTTCAAAAGTCTAAAATATGTTACAGAAGTACCTTTAAATATAACAAAGATGATGTTTGCAGTGGAATTTAACAATTGGGCAATGCTAGGGGTACACCAACATGGGGTACCCCAAGTGTACACCAAGCCAACACAGACAAACACAGACACAAAATGTCTGTGCAATACAGACACTTTGTGTCTGTGTGTGTCTGTGTTGGCTTTGGTGTACACTTGGGGTACTCCATGTTGGTGTACCTCTAGCTTAATTCTTAACAATTTCCTTTGAGCTTCCACTGTTTTAAAGCTTGCGTCTTGGTGAGATTCCTAATCTTTTAGGACTAGAGCTTGAAGTCTCATACTCTCATCTAATAATTGGAATATACTCTCTCCATTCACTTCAATTCTTTAAAATTTTAACAATTTCTAATGCAACACTTTGATACACACACTCCATATTAAAAAGTCTTGTTTTCTAAAATCATATTTTGAAACAAAGAAATTACTATGTTATACTGTAATAAATTTCTACTACACATGTCCCAATTTTGATTACAATTTTTTTCTCACATTTCAACAACTTTTATTTATATATTTATTTTTATTGATTATTTGATAAATTAAAATAATTTTGCAACCTTTTGATGTGTTGAACTTTTGGCATAATTTTTTAGGATCATGCTACACTTACACCAAAATTTATACCCCAAAGGTATACACTAATATTTTTATTGTTCACACTGATACAAAATACTGGTGCGTTAATTAAAACTTGCACTAACATTTAGTGTCCATGTAAACTATAATCATAGCATTACACTGTTACAAAATGAAAATGTAAACCTGCATGGTACAAATTAAGATAGAAAAAAGATAACTTAATCCAATTTTTTACTCGAGGTATTATGTACTACCTCCGTCCTAGATTATTTTTCCACTTTCATTTTTACACACCATCCAATACACATCTTTAATCTATTTTATCTTGTAATTTGTATATTAAAAAATTAGAGAAATTAAATATTAATAATCTATATGTTAAGACAAATCAAACAAGATCATGCGTGACTATATTTAGGCTTACACATTGAGAGAATTTGATGAATCAAAGTGCTTAGATGAACAGTTATAAAAGTCAAAAGTGGACGAATATAGCGGGACGGACAACAAAGGAAAAGTCAAAGAGGAGGAGAATCTAAACTATTACGGTGTCCTACTGTATATAATGTCAGAAAAAATAAACGGGTCCCAAGTTCCAACCCGGGACGGATTTGATCGAGAGTGGAAATACAAACCGATGCCCAAAAGCTGAACGAGCTTTCCAGAGAAAGAAGAAGAGGCGGTATCGTCGCACATAGGGAGACTTCTGCTGCGTCTGTATAAATATATACACTCCGTATGTATCTATAGTCTGGTGTATAAAGACGCGCATGGTGGGCCCTAAACCCCTCTGTTTGTTTTCAAACCCTCCCGCGAAGCAAACCCATCATCCTTCGCTTTGATTCTTACTCCGAGTCTCGATCCCGATTGGGGAAGCCGCCAACCAGAGGGAGGGGTAAAAGAAAAAGAAGAAAAGAAAAAGATTAAATCTTGATTTGCATCTGCGTGAATAACAAGAGTGGTTTGATTCGACTTTCTGGGTTCTTCCTGCTTCTGCCCGACTCAATTTGGATTCATGGAGGAGAAGAATCAGCATGGTTCCGATCGATTTGCTCCCAACTCCTCCCCGAGTTCGTTCGTACACATTCATTCTCACCAAAGATCTTGTTTTGTTTTTTTGCCAATTCAATTGTTCTTGGTTTTGTTTCTGCGGTGGGATATTTTGTTCGGGTTTTCTTTCTAGTTTATTGACTTTCCTCGCAAAAAAATGGGGATATTTTTGCCGTTTATGGCATCGCGTTGACCAATTTTGGAGGATTAGGGTAAAGAACAATTATGGGTTTAGGGTCTTTCTTGTGTCCGGTTGAGCTGTGGTTCCGCAACTTGCTAATGAGCACCTCAATTAAGGGGTGTGCTGGGGTTGGGGATTCTCTGACCTTTTGTATTTCATATTTCATAATTTGATTACTGCATGCTGTTCTTTTGATTATACAGCTATCTAGTTGAGTATTGCATTGAGTTGTCCATGGAAAGAATATGTGAGTGAAACATGTTTTTTTTGTGAGGACAGGAATCACAACATTATTAACTATGCTACTATTTAAGTAACTTAACCCAATAATAAATCAGGAATTGCCTTATGAGCTTGTGTTCCCGGGGAACGTCTTGCAATGAGTGAGACTTAGTGATGAAGTTTATTAGAACTCCTCACTATATAATTGATGATTTGAGTAAAGCAACCATTAAGGTTTTTGATGCATCATTCATTTGGAAAGCATCACCATTGGTGGAGTTTGTGGTTTAGTTTGGGGTTGTTTTTTGCTACTGTATTCTTAGCGAATGTGTCTTTAGCAGTCGTATGTAAACAAAAACTATTTGAGGGTCTTGAGTTAATGATGAGAAACTGAGGATGGATGATTTTAGTAGTCTACTGTTTCTACCGGAATAGAGAATATTGCCATTGACAGTCAAGTGTTCACTCAACTACATTGGAAACAACTACAATAGTGCAAAGACTGAAGGAACTGACAAAATGACTCTCATTCAAGACTTCTATGGGTTTTATTCTTTTGGGTGTGTTATGATAGTAAGGACTTTAGGGATTAGTTTTAGCTTGCACAATTGAAGTCTTGAGTTTACATTGGATTCAGTGCTGTCACTTTTATTGCCTTTCTATAATTTTAACTTTTATGATGGGAAAGAAAAGACCTAAAGACTTGTTTTGATCATTATTTTTACCTAGATGCTTCACTAGTTTCACATTTGATCTATAGTAGGGCTGATTGGCTAGGTGTGGTGTGAGATGAATCTTTTGATACCTTTAATGGCACATTCTTAATTACTTGCTTAAGATTCTCGCTCCATCTGGCTAGGTTTTTGTTTTAGTTCCTTTTTAATGGCACATTCTTAATTACTTGCTTAAGATTCTTGCTCCATTTGTTGTTTGGGTTTTAGCAATCCCTATGAATAAAAAAGCCCCACCCTGGAAGGGTAACCCTGTGGAAAGAATTGAATTGAACAATAAGTGAAATTAAACAGAAGACCACAAGGGGATACATTCCACATACTCACACAACAAACTGTCAGACCACCCTTGATCATAGAAAGAAAGTTAATTCCATTTGTTGTATTTGAAACCTTCCTCTATCTCTGAGAATTGAAACTGTGTGAAGTTTACAAGTGTAATATTTATTTAAAGAATACTTGATAATGCATTAACAAGCAATGTGTTCATTTGATGATAATGCAGGCGAGAGAGCTGAGTTGCATGCTGTAGCAGAACAGGTATGGTGTTAACTGTCTAGTACTACATACAGGATACTCCCTCCATTCCACACCATATATTAAGGATTATTAGATACATTAGATTTTGAGCGAATGTTGGCTCAAGTATGTCTACATTCATTCAAACTTTAATGTATCTAATAAACCTTAATAGACAGTATTATGGAATGGAGGAAGTATATTATAAGTTTTGTGCACATTTCTAAAATAGCATATGTAATGTGCACTATTGGTACTTGTTTGTGTAATCTGTCATCAGTCTGTTTCACCCAAAGACGAGAGGGTTGTTTCTGCAAATCCTTCAATAAATTCCAAAGATCAATCTGCTAGTTCTGAGACAAGTGCGGCTTTCCCCACCATGTACCCAATGAATCCTTATCCTCCACCGGAGCAAGGCTTTTACTATGGAGGTTAGTTCCTTTTAGCCACTCTTAACCTGATCCATCCATGGTTATTTACTTTCCATTAAGGATGCCTCGCGTGTACCGTTCTTGCTGTTTAAGTGACGTGGCAAGCTTATGTTATTTCTCTTCCAGAAATACTACAAAAGTGACAAGGCTTTGAATGTTTTGTTGTTGTTGTTGTTGTTGTTGTTGTTGTTGTGGTTCAAATTGCATAACTGCATTCCTTGATGCAATGTTGCCTGTACAATTTACATCTCACCTGATTCTCCTCAGCTTGGGACACTCAACAATTTTTCATCTGAAGCAAACTAGCAATGGTTCTTAATATGTCCTTAGTCATTGTGATATTGAGATTAAATATTTGAATCCTTTGAATTCAAACATTCTTTTGTCAGCACCATCCATCCTCCTAGTGGGCTAGACATCTTGTATGTGTAATTCCATGAGGATTAAGAAGTAATCTATATTTAAGTTAGTTGGACTAAATAATTTCATATGCTATTGTCACTTGACCCACTTCCCCACTATTTGGATTTTACATTTTTACCTGGTTTTTTGTTGTTGTTATTGCTGCGTGTTATTGTCACTTTTATCCTATTTGTGAAGTTAATTACTGAATTACTCACATCTTGGAATTCTAGAACTGAAAATCTAACTATCTCTTTCTTTGGATTTGGCTTAGGCTTTGACAACAGCTCGGGAAATTGGGGTGAACACTCCAACGAAATGAATGCTAATAACTTGCATGTCATACCTCCGGTGCGTTTAAAATCATTTCCTCTCATCTAACCTACGTACTATGTCCTTTCTACTGTAATTACAACATGCAAACATGTTCATTTTTGCGGTGCTTGATCTTATGCAGGCAGTATACAATGAAAATTCATCATTCTTTTTCCCCCCTAGCTATGGTTATGATGCTCAGATGGCATATGGGCAATTCTCCCCTGTTAGCAGTCATCTGTCCCCCATAATGATAGATGGTCAGCTATATTCTCCACACCAGGTCCCCATATCTCCATCCTACTATCAACCACCAATTTCACCTGGACTGCCACATGTCTCTCAAGCCCTTCCCACCTCACAGGGTGAGCTAATAGTGAATCCAGGAAGGGGTGGCCATGAAAGTTTTGTTGACGGTATGATATATGGACCAGGATCAGGTTACTACATGCCCGTTGGATCTTATGGTGGAGGAGAGCTTCCTGTAAACAACAACCTTGGCTTCTACAAACTTCAGAATGATTTTCGATCCGGGGAACAACCTTTGACAAACCGATCTAATTCAATGGACTCTGGCAGATATGTTTCTCCTTTGACTTCTGCTACACTATATCCACAGCAATTTGGCCTACTTGGGTCATATGAACAAACTGCTGCACAGGTTGGTCATTACACTACTGTTCTGTTTCTGTTGTTTTTTTCTTGTTATGCATGAATTGAGTTGAAACCATTTGTTATCTGTTGGAGATCCCCTTGATTCCTTGAATATACATCCTATGGTTCACAATGTGTTTTTTAGGGGAAAAAATATGTTGACTAATACCTCGTCAAATGGAGAAAAACTTTACAATATATATAACCCCTTGCAGACAAGTGTATGGTAATGGATTGAAAGAAATGGTGAATGAGCATTTCTATGAAAGATTGAAGGTGATTCTCCTTGTGGTTCATGGAGCCAACCCCATGTTACATGGGATTTAAGGCTTGGTTTTTCTTGTAGACTTGTAGTAACATAACCCCTGTCAACATTTAATTATCATTCAAAATTTGCTTTTGCATAGGATTAAATAAAAGCAAAAAAACTTGAAATAAAACGTTTCCTCCAAAATAACACTTATTGTGAAACCAGGGGAGTAAATTTTTGGTTCTTAGATCCCTTCTTTCAGGTGATAAGAGTACCTTGCCTAATCTATTTTTGGGGGAAAAATCATGTTTCTTGTTCATCAACGAATAATATCAAAGCATGCATCATTTCAGGGTATTGGATACACACAGGGTGCCTCATCCAGACACTACATTCGAGGTGGATCTTATCCGGGTTCAAATTATGCCAGCGGGTCCAGTTGGGGAACTGGTCACCCGAATCGATTTGCAAGTGCAAAAGGTTATAGTCGGGATAGGGAACTAGACTCGACCAACATCTCTACCGAGTCACTGGGTGAACGAAATAGGGGACCCAGGGCTTTGAAGCCAAAGAACAAGAGTTCCACTGAAGAGAACCTTTCGTCTGGAATTCTTCTTAAAGATCTTGACCAGATTAATCGCTCTGACTTTGTTGTGGATTACAAGGAGGCCAAGTTCTTCGTCATCAAGTCCTTCAGTGAAGACAATGTTCATAAAAGCATTAAATATAACGTTTGGTCCAGCACCCCACTTGGGAATAGAAAACTGGATGCCGTTTATCGAGAAGCGAAGGAGCTTGATTGCAATTGCCCGGTTTTTCTATTTTTTTCGGTATGTGCCTATAAACCCTTTTCTTAAGTGCACCTGAAAATGATCTATTCCCTCTTATCCTTTTGTGTTTGGTTGGATACATTTATGTTGAAAGGCTGGGATAGGATAATAGCATACCCAATGAGTGCTTTTGTCAGTTAAACACTTAAAGTGCTTTTCTTAAAAAACAACATTTCAATTCTTCCTTATAACCCAAGCATTGAAAGTGATGTTTTTGCTATACTTTTTTTCCCTTCATTTTTGAGCACAATCGTTCTGTTTTTACTATCCTAATCAAGGGTAAGATTACATGCATTTGGACCCCCATTCACCAACCAATGTATTGGGAGGGATTACATTGGGTTTGTTGTTTTGTTGCTAACAAGTGTTTCACATGCGCTTTTACAATCTGCAGGTTAATGCAAGCGGACAATTCTGCGGGGTAGCAGAAATGGTGGGACCCATTGATTTCGAGAAAGACGCAGAGTACTGGCAACAAGACAGGTGGAACGGGCAATTCCCTGTGAAATGGCATTTCATCAAAGACGTTCCGAACATCCAGTTTCGCCATATCCTGCTGGAAAATAATGACAACAAACCAGTCACTCACAGTCGCGATTCTCAAGAGGTAGTAGTAGTACATACAAATTGAATGGATTTCTCAATCAATCAATCAATGGCTGCAACTGCTTGTTTCTTTATTATTCATGGGGCTGCTTGGTGGTGTTGTGTGTTGTTTGATTTAGGTGAAAATGGAACAAGGGATTGAGATGTTGAAGATTTTCAAGGATTATGAGGCCGAGACTTCCATGGTGGACGATTTCACCTTCTACAATGACAGGGAGAAAGCCCTGTTAGAAAGGAAGGCGAAACAGCGAGTGATGCCACCACCAACCACCGCTGCTGCTGCTGCACCACCACCAGCACCGTTGCCTGCCGACTCAATAAACCATCTGTCTGAATCCCTAGCTGAAACCCTCAAATTGGAAGACAGCAGTAACAAACAGTTGCCTCCAAAAGATGGGGAGAAGTGAGAATCCTTACATCTTCAACCTGCCCAGATTTGGCTAGTAGTATTCCTTCTCATAAACCAAAAAAACCCTTGTCTTTCCTGTTGCTGGCTGCCCATTCTTGTTTCCCAGTTTATAGTGGGTAGGTGCCCCTCTAGTGGAGTGGCTAGTAGCTTTGTTCTGGAGTCTTCTTTTATTGGAGCCTTCATCCAGTTGGTTGTTTGCCTGGCATTTCACCAACTCAATTAGAGACTTCTACTTCTGCAGTTTTAATTGTGTACTACTCCAAATATACTTTGCGCTGTTTTCTTTTCTTTCATGTTAATTTTTAGTCTTCCAAAGACCAATTAAAAAGGAAAATTTACCATGTATTTGCTAGACACAAACAATCCATAGCCCCAAGTATATTTCCAGATACAAACGTAAATGGTGAAACCATTTTAACCCTTTACAGAGTTGTAAACGTCAATGTATTTTCCTGCCGTATTATTCCAGCTGTGGTCCACCTGCATTACCTTCTTCACTGCATCGTCCCAATCACTCGGCCCTACAATAACACCACAACAATTCAAGACATATAATGTATATGGATCGTGCTAGGTGTACACCATTTTTGCACCGCATTTTTATTGTTCACACTAGGACAAAATTTTGTATAGGAGCCATCAAAATATTGAAATTTTGTAATCGGCTAATCACACTGACATTTTGCGTAATGTGAGCTATCAAAGCGTTAGTGCAAAACTGTGGTGTGCAAAAGTGGTGTATAAGTAGCATTAATGAATATATATATATATACCCCGGACTACCCGGAGTATATACATAGACCATGAGGATCAACACCAGTTCCATGGCCGTAGCCCATATGACGATGAATGGATGCTTTTAGTTTGGAGGGAGGAAGATCTAAAAAGGGCTACTTACTTTCTCTATAGTGCGAAAATGCACGCTCTAAAGCCCCATTTAAGGATGCCTCGTCAATTCCTTCAAAGACAAACCTGTCATTGGAAAAATGCAAGTCACAACATGGATCTGTATTTGTTGAAACCATGTTTGAGAAAGGAAAAGTCACTAAAATAATCAAGTGTAGAAATATATTTTCGAACGGATCTTCAAAATGAATTGGCATTTCGAAGGAATATATCAACTAGCATAATACCCATTTGCAATGCCTGATTGTGAGTCGTTGTCCATGTCAAAAACGGTATCTGCAAGACCACCTGTCTTCCTAACAATGGGAATCTGAAAGAGCCACAAACAGAGCCCAATTTGAATCCAAATTCAAAGTTGCTTGTGCGTGTGTGAGCATTACTCAATATCCACAATACAACTTGTGCAGAATTTTGAGGTGAAAACAAAAGTAGAGGACCCATGGTTCTATCCTACTTGGATCCAAGCATTAGCAGTCACACTCTCCAAGAATCTTGGATCTATCCTACGTAGATCCAAGCACTGGCAGTTACACACTCCTAGAATTATCATGATGTATATCTGTTTAGAAAGTCTTGACACATAATTTGACTCGTATGTTTGTGAGTTTTTTTGGCATAATTGCAAAGAAAATATGAAAATGAATAGATCATCACATGGAACACTTAATCCCCTGCTTTCTGCAGTTTCCCTTTAATGACTTCTTACTAGGGAAATTTGATAAATGATAAAACATATATAAAAAATAACTGTACTGCTTAAGCATATGGCACATACTGCTCCATAACGCATTCCAATCATCTGAGAAAGGCCACATGGCTCATATATTGAAGGAACCAGGACCATATCTGCAGCAGCATAAAGCATATGAGACAGCTCCTCACTGCCCAGAAGAAAAAAGAAACAACTCTTCAGAAAATTTACAACTATATTTGCAATATTCTGCTTCACTCACTAATAATTCATAGATAGTATCTATAAAAGTTGATGTTGTCACTATAAGGAATTAGGGAGCACCTTGAACCTAAAAAACGTCAACACAAAGACATATAAAGATTTGTGAGTTGTTTCACTATATTTTTATTGTGCAATTTTTCCTTATGTTTTTGTTTCACAATCAAGTATATGTGAACTTTTCTCTATAAATCCATCCCTTCAACTTTTTATGAATTGAAATGATTCCCAAGAATTTTGGATGTTTCTACTTTTAGTGATCAGAAATAGAAATTAAGGCAATCGAAGGCTAGCAGTGTGTGTTGCTCACCTGGGTATATTAACTATATGAAACTTTATGGCATTTCTAAAGGGTAGTAATCCAACCAAGTGAACCGACTTTGGCATTGGGCAATAAAGAAGACACATAGCAGACACATAACAAACTTTATGGCTTTTTGTGGTGGACGTGTTGTCATATCATGTTGGACAGAGAAGATGATGGTCTTTTTTTGACACCCCAATCTCACCACTTATTGTGAGAGTTTACAAGAATATATAGATATAGGTAAGGTTTTTATACATCTCAGTCTCCAGATTCTACTTTTGAAAGGGATGTACTAGATATGTTTTGTTAGGTTTGGTTTACTACGATTATGAAACTTATAAATCACATGAGGAACTAAACGGTCAAGGCCTAGCAGAAACCATCTTTCTACACCAACCATTCACTAAACTAGATTGAATTGAGTACTCCGTATAATTTACACACTTTGGCTCATTTTTGTTTGAATTTTTTTATTGAGGCTTTAGGTTTTTCCCTTGTTAAAAGCAATGTTATTAGAACCGGACCGGCCGGTCCAACCGGTCAGACCGCGATCCGGTGAGAACTCCGGTCCGGTTTAAAGGTAAAACCCGGATCTGCATCGACCCGCCCAAAACCGGTAGACCCGGCCGACCTGCGGGTTTTTTTCTAGAGTTTTTTTTAAAATTTTTTTTGTCTATAAAATAAAATGATGGAGATAGGATTTGAACACTAGACCTCACATACAACTCTCTTACATTATAACCACTTAAGCTACTCAACACTTGTTAACAAAGTCATGCAGAATAGTATATATAGTGTTTTTTATTTGTGTTGAGTGAATTAAAAAAACTTCTAACTTCTAACTTCTAAAAAACTTCTAACTTCTAAGTTCTAACTATTTGTGTGATTATTTTATAATCTTTTAAAATATTTCAAAGTAAAAGACAAATATTATTTTTTGTATCAAATAATAATGAATAATTTATATCTAAACAAATATTATCATCTATAAAATGAAGAAAAATATGGAAAGTGTGAAAGAGAGAACAATGACATTGAAAATAACATGAAGAAGAAACAAAATATAATTTTAAATATTTTATTTAACATTGAGAATAACATTTACATCTTTCCTTAATATGTGTGTCCAATTCAAATGGAAAGATTAAAGTTAGACGGAGAGAGTATGTGCTTCGTATTATTTTGAAATAATATGCATATTTAAGTTATGTGATAATATTTTATTATCTTTAAAAATAGTCCACAAAATATGGTATTCTTTAATTTTTTATTATCTAAACATAAATATGAATATTATATACCAAGTAAGGGGTCGTTGACCGGGTTGTTGACCCGAGTCAACCCGGTTCGACCGGTTGACTCTTGACCCAGTGGCTTGTCCGGTTCAATGTCCGGTCCGGTTTTCAAAACATTGGTTAAAAGGCCATAATGGGACAAAAGGTTCATCACTTGGAAAAATATCAAATGTGCACTTGGTTGGGTGGGGAGGGGGGGGGGACTTGAAGTAGGGGGTTATGATTTAAATTGATCAATGACAAAAAGTGAAGATCATGGGTATTACTAGTTTACCTGTACATCAAAAGGATACGGATGCTGGAACCAAGGTTATGCTACAAAACAAATAAATTGTCAGCTTACTAGATGTTAAAGTTAAAATAACAGACCAAATAAAATCTTTGTATGTGTAAAATAATTCTTTTGAAATAATTATTAGGAGATAGAGAGTTCAGTTGTACTAATGCATATATAGTTTATTGACTTTATTGTTTATGCTGTGTTTATTGTGACACGTGATATTTATCAATCATTACTCCGTAATTGCTAGGAATATTGTTATTTTAGGAGTTTTATTCTATTTTTTATTCGTTGCTCCTTTTTAAGATCTGATCAGGTTAGGATAAGGTATAATCCCTAATATTTAGGGATTTTATCTTACTCCGTATTATTTATTCACTAGTAATCACCCTATAAATAGTCCAATCTATCTATAGTACTCCATATTTTTCATCATTCAGAAATAAACAGATTATTTTCAGTTGGAGATTCTCCATTGTTGGCTATTGAGACCTGAGAGTTATCGAGCTAGATTCTTCCTCAAACCATTCTTAATACTCCTTCCTTCCTTTTCCCTTTTTGGATGTCCCGAACTTTTGTAGCTCACAATCTTTCACTCTCTAAACAAATTCCAATCGCACACTTTTCACTTTTTAACACTTTTCTTGAAGTCCATGAAGTCAAATTGTGAAGTTTAATTCGGGACGGAGGGTGTAAATTTTATCCCTTTTTTACATGCTCAATTCCTAATTGATTTCTATCATTTGCTATAACATATAATTACAGAATACCCGTGCAACTTCTGAGTGGGATCAACCAAATTAGATTTCTTTTAGTTCCTGGTCAATGTATTTTCTTCCTTCAACTACATTTTTAGACATTATATTCCCTCCGTCCCAATTTAATAGTCTACATTTGGTTTGGCACGCATTTTAAGAAAGGTGGAATTGTATGGTTGAAATTGATATAGAAGGGAGAACAAATATAAGCCACAAAAATCTTTCCAAAACTAGAAAGAGGAGTATTTTTTGGGACGTCATAAAAAAAATGAGGATGATTAATTTGGGACAGAGGGAGTCTCATATACACTGATACACATCACACAAAGTTATCACCAGGTGAGATCTTTAAGTCTATTTAGAAAATATGGATTACCAATTTAACAAGATCTTGAAACTCTTTTTCAACTTGACCTTCTGAAGTTTTCCCCAAGACAACCATCTGTCCACCCTGCAAAGGAAAGGAGGTGAATCCCAAGTTCAAAAAAGGTATGAGCGTATAAGTTGTGTGGACTTTACTACTTGAGAGTTGAGACACGGGTGAATCCAATTATAGTCCTACTACATAGCTTTTTTGGCCATCTAATTCTATCCAAACTTCAAATAATGGTCGCGAGTTTATGGTTTATCTAACTGAGTTTTTAGATTGTGGCTTGTGTCACCTTTAAACGAAGCTCAGCCATCCTACTTTTCTTTTAGTTCATGTTAATGCACTGCACGGGTGATTATAGTGCCAACCATTGAGGTGTTATTTTGTTACCTTTACACCATGTTTGGTTCAACAAATTAGGAAAGAAAAGAAAATGCTAAAGAAACCAAAAATCCTAATTTCATTTGGTATGTAAGGGAATTGGTGAGAAAGTTAGTTTTCAGTAACGCTTTTGTCTAGTTGTTAGTGAAAATGAAGGAAGACGTGGTTGGGAGGAGAGAGGGGTGGGCAGGAAGAGTATTGTATTCACCCCCTTTCCTTCAAAAATGGAAGGGAAATCACTTTGCCATATTTTACGTTTACCTCACATTTTCTTTTTCTCACAATTTATTTCCTTTCCCTTTTTGACCAAATACAAAAATTGCTTTACCTTACCATTTCCCTTCCAAATTCCTTGAACCAAAAAGAGTGTTTTATGGTTATTTCAAGTGTACGTTGATTTTCCTATGAGAAGTCGTCGAGTTGATTCGAGCTAAAAATACATTGGATTTCATTGTTCAGTTGCCATTAACTCAAATTGTGTCCATTGTCAAGGGTGCTAAAATAGTCATTCTTGACAATGTTTTAGCTTTGAGTAATAATGAATTAAATCAAAATGACACATCAAATTTTCATCGCTTCTTACTTCCTATAAAGTTTTGGGAAGTAAGTGCAGCAATTCACCAAGAGAGCAAAAACATGACTACATGTTGACCGCCCCCCCCCCAAATGGATTGGGATATACTGCCATTAAGTCAAATATATCTTGGGTTATGGAGCATCCAATTGAGAAATAAATATGTTTCAAATGATATCATAATAGAACTCATAAGAAGCTCCTAGCATGAGCTGGGCGTACATACTATGTAAGAGCCAGTGCCCATAGGCCCTGTGAGTGTATTCTTCAAAGAGGTTTAGGAGGGGAACTTACTAACTCCTTGACATGCTTGATCGCCTGTATTATCAAATGAAGACCCTTTTGGCGAACCAATCTAGTAATGCAAACGACCATAGGCACTCGATGAGAAAAAGTATGTGGGCTCAAGTCCTCCACAGCCAAGCCAAGCCCCCTTTGAACATAGAGTTTGCAAATCTGCTTCCCTTTGATATTACTAGCTTTCAAGACAATGAAAGAAATCAGGGAGGAGAGGGTAAGGAAACAATAGCCAATAACAACCAAATTTTATAGAGATCATCAAGGCAACAGTACTTAAAAAATCTGATTGAATATAACTAGGATGATAATCTAAGAAAATGGCATTCTCAGCAAACAACCATAAGCAGAAACAGTTACCCGTGAATTTAGAAGGTAGATATATATCTGTTGCAGGGTCCCACATAGCAGTATCTATTCCATTTAAAATACCAGAATACCTGTATTATTGCATAAAACTCATGTCATATACTCTCATTAAATAGTTATGTGGAAAGGTTCAAAACAAGGCAATTAATTAAAAACAAGCACAAAGTTTTAACTTTTAAGAAGTACTAAAACATGGAAACCAATTCATCACATGGTTCAAGTGACATTAATCTCCAGGTCTCTGATATTTAACGCTAAACAAATTTTAAAGGATACTCCAAAGAACTTACTTCTTGCGGTGTCTTATCAAAGTGCTGGCAAGCCACCCAGAACAAAGTGTTTCTTTAAGATACGTTGGAGAGACTGTACTGAAAATTTGAAAGAAAAATAAAGAACTTTAAGTAGAAGAAAAATATCAAATAAATGATAACAATATTATAATGAAAAAATAAACACGAATAATCCAACGTTTGTTCTGAAGAACAGAAATTATCTAAAGTTAATCCTAGGTTAAATGAAATCATCTTGCCAACTAAATATCTGTTCTTCGAGGATGGAGGCAGAGAAGAGAAAGGGGAGCGGAGCTTTCTGAACTTTTCCATTAATGGATGGTTAGGACTCATTGTTTGGGGGCGTTGGTGTTAACCGAGTTGCAACCTTGGATTATTCGTGTTGGCAGATATCACATTGTGTTAACATCTAAAAGGACCATTTCAATGCTTTGTTTTAATTAAACAGCCAGATTCAGATTCTCCTTATCTGTATCACATCTGAATTGGTTGTTCAATCATCAATACCCCAAGAAGCCCCCCTCTCCTCCAGAGTGCAAATAGTTTACTTTTTAATTAGACATTTGGATCACATTTTTTGTTTTCTACCGCCAATTTTATTCATGTAGTTTGAGGAGGAAAGGATATCAATGTTTAACTTAGATTACTTCCCTGCATTGGCTAAGAAATGCCAATTGTTTCACTACAAAAACTTCAGAGCACCACAATTACAATGATTTGTGAAGATATTCACGTCCTGCAAAAATGAACCGTCTATTTCTAGCCTTGTCTGAACTTGAACTTCAAGATGCCCTATGTTGATGGCGTCTTGATTCTTGAAGACTTGATATATTAAACATAAACTTAACTCCATTATGTAGCCCAATTACATTGCTATATAATTTTTTGCATCTCTAACAGAATGTATGCATTACCAGCATTAGGCTATTACCAATAGAACCCTTATAACCTTATTTACTTTTTTACAAAATTCCTTCCTCCTAACTCCTTGCCAGCCTTTTCAAATCATCAGCTTCAACAGGATGTATACATGTGTAGGTAAGTTACTCACCTATCTAGCAAATCCTTTCTAACTCGGCACTAGTAAATATTCTACTTCAAAATTGATCCACATTCATAACAGAAGCTTTGAGTCTACACGCTTAAAATTATTAATTACTCATTATTTTGGAGTGTATTTATGTCCTAATGTCCAGGTGTATATTTATTACTTTTTTGCACATTTACCATTTTAATATAAAAAAAGAACGTGGGTGAACTTACACTACTGCATTGCTGTAGACTATGCCACCTTTAAGTAGACTTAACCTCTCAGGATTGTGGCCAATTGTGCGATCATCAACTGCCTGAAATTTTAGAGTCACTCTTAGAGACAAGGTAACCCAAGCATAGAGGAATTTTCTAATTCTTTTCTGGAAGGAAAATGCAATTCGATGTTTAGCTGAAAGAGAATATCTACAATGCTTAACTTACTACCAGTTATGCATTTTCTGATCTTTCATAGTTTTAATTACTTTTCAGGTCTTTAAACTAAACATTTTCCCTCATTTTAGTCCTTGAACAAAACAATTATTCAATTAGTCTCTTAACTACATAGTATTAAAAATGTGTAATTATCAATACGAAGTCAAACACTATTAACGTGTACCATAAATTAGATGATGTGGCAACTACCATATCATCAACTTTCGGACACGTGAAGCATAAAAATGTTTTTTTCTTAAAATTAGTTTCTTTAATTAATTAATACGGAGTACTCCGTATTAGCTCATTACAAATTAAATTTGATTAACTGATTTACATCTTAATTTTTCTTTTAATTTAGTTTTTATTTTCAATGAGTTAGTATTAATCAACTAACGAAAAAATATTAAAAAACTACCAAAATTCATTTTAGGGAAAAATGTTATGCACCACGTGCTAGAATACATTAGAAATGATTGAAGCTTTTAGATTTGTTTGATAAAAGCACACCTTTTCTTCAGTTCCATACAAAGATCCATCAAGGCCACACTTGCTGAATTGCTCTTTGCTGTCAATATAAAGTAAGACAGCAAATGACGAGATTGTTATAAACTTAGGACATTAAATTGCACAAAATCCCAAACCACATATGTGGTGACACCTTTAAAAAAACAAATATAATAAAGTAGAAAAAAAAAAGCAGCACTTGATGAGATTACAGTCAGCATTCTGTCTTTCATAAATATGTCCACCGCTAGGGTTCACTTTGGGAGAGTAATGAGGTAGGAATGGCTAGAGCAGTTTTGTGGGATTGGAATTCACTAGTGAGAGTTGTGAGTTGTGACCCCATAACTATGTGGGACAAAATGTGTGTTCAGGAAAACAACAAGATGGTAATGGTAAATGCACCAACAACAATCAAACCCTAATCCCAAATCAATGAAAAATGACTAATAAATTAAAATTAAAATATATAGAGTAAATTCTATAATTGGTCCTTTATAACAGGGGGTTTCATATTTAGTCCTCTGTTATCAAATATTACCCCCGTAGTCCTTTTTTTAAGGGCGCCTTTCCACAAATGATCCTTTTTTTGATCTTCTGCCATGTTGGTGTTAATTTAAAGGCTAAAAGTATAATTTGACATCAACACTATGTCTAGTGACGTATTCTGATATTGGTTAAGCGGATAACACAAAAATAATGACTATGATTGTGGGCTAGGATTCCAACGAAAGACCACATTTGTAGACTATGGTTGTAGTAGAAAACGACTATAATTCACAAACGATGCAAACGGAACAGCCTTTGGAATTGTGCATGACAAAAAAGATATATCATCATTGTGAAATTACACTTTTAGCCCTCAAATTAACACCAACATGATAGAAGATCAAAAAAAGGACTATTTGTGGAAAGATACCCATAAAAGAAGGACCAGGGTAATATTTGATAATAGAGGACTAAATATGGAAACCCCCTGTTATAAAGGACCAATTATGGAATTTACTCAAATATATATTTTCAAACTAAAGCATAAAAAGTATTGTTTGTATTACTTACTCTGTAATTTATTTTCATTTCTTTAATTAAAATCACATGATGAGAAGTTTAAAGCACATGAAGTTAGTACTTTACTTGCACTCTCCATAATGCTCCATGTTGTGGATTGTCAGTACAACCCTGGGTTTCTACCAAAGAAAAGGCCAATGAATTAAAAATAATAGGATATTTTATTATATATCGGTAATTTTAATATAAGCTCGTGCAACTCCAAAAGGCAGAAAGGTGAGGCAACAAAAGCTCTTAAGAATACCTGGATAGAGAGATATAGGTACATATCCCAGTACAAGAGAGGTAAAGCACTAGTTTGCCATTCATGGACATGAATAATATCAGGTTGTGTTCCAGTTACCTGCAATAGGGGAAAATGCTCATATTTTGGATGGTAGCTGAAGGTGTGAATTAAGGGGTCAATCTTCCACTTCACTCGGTCAGGGCAGAGCCGAACTAGTGAATCAGTCAGAGGGAAACAGAAACTAAGTGCCTTGATTATGCTGTCTGAAGGCCAACATTCAGACAATACTTATAATGGCGGCGTGACATACATAACCTTAAATTTTTCTACAGAATCCTCAAATTGCAAGAAACTTTGTTACAACAGAATACCTGCATCCACTCGAGGCATGCACGGCTGAAAAACAAATATGCTTCCAGTTCATTGTACGATCCTCCATATATGCTCTGTCCCTTGAAGAAATGATTAGATGGTTCAATGAGTATCACACGAATGTTTGACACTTCTCCTTGATAAGCATTAGTAGGGATCCATTTTCCATCATGATAAGAGTTATATGTATTGACCAACTCCAAGCCATGAATACACTGCTTTGGAAGACACTCATAGAAAGGAAGCATGACCACAACATCATGTCCACGCATTGCGCAAGCACGGGCAAGTCCAGTCACAACATCACCTAGGCCCCCAACTTTTGCCACGGGAGCCATTTCAGCCGTCACATGAACAATGTACATAAGGTCAGAATCATGTTCTACAAGAGACGAGCCTCTCAAGGCAACGTCTTGTAATGAGAATTCCCTCTTCCAAAATGGAATTTCATCATTAGGAGAAGGCCAATCAAGGTTTTCATACCCAGAATCAGCATTTGAACCAACAAGCTGCTCATCTTCACCCTATAAGTAAAAAAACAAATTAGTAATGTTCTTCGTGAAGAAACCCATACACGTATTACTAAGCCTCAATAGCAAGCTTGTGAAGTAGAACTAAGATCTAATATTTCCAAAAAATCCCTCTTCTTCTAGAAGCATATACAACAACAAACCCAAGGTGGCAAGGTGGTCCCACACTTGGGGTCTGGGAGTGGGATGTATGCAGTCCTTACCTTTACCCTTCTGGGTGGAAAGGGCTCTTTCTGAAATATCCTTAGCTCAAAACGAAATTAATCAAAGGGAATATGCTAAAAGAAAAAAACTAGCAAGATAACGATACACGCACCCAAAGGAGTAACACATAATAGTGCACATAAGAAAGGAAATCTACACATCTTACCTCACAAACAAGCGTGACAAAGACTCAACAACCTACAACCGTGTAATTTTATCCTCAAATTGGGGTCTAAGGGGTCAACTTACGGAGTACTAACAGAGAGGTTGTTTCTGTTAGACCCCTGATGCATTGTTGCATTTACTACCCAAAACTTCATAGAAAAGAAGCAAAGTACGTTTAATGTGTCATTATGATTTAGTCCATTATGTGCCCAAAGCTAAAAAAACATTCAATAATGACTCTTTTAGATCCATTGGCAATGGAAGCCAAAATCCACAAGTTCTCGTTTCAATGCTTATCTCCAGTGATCAATTCAACTTAGCAGAATTTATCAAACCATAACAGGGAGATTGAACAGGGGGCTTAAAGTAGGTGAAAGAGGCGGTTCTTAACTTCTTACCTGATCAAGAGCCTTGTTATTCTCATGAAGAATTGGAGTCCCAATGTTTACAGAATGCGAGAAAAAGAGATGTTCATCATATGGATTCAAAATTTTGGCCTTGTAGGTGTTGTTAATCTTCTTCTCAGGCTTGAATCCATAATCACGATTATAATTGCAACTCTTGGCAAGCTTAGGCCGCAGAGAGGATAATGGCAGAAATGAGAAAGAAGAGCAACGAGCACCATATAACAACTCCATTACTAACACGATCTTCTATTCTTCTTCGTCTTCTTCTTCTTCTTCTGTTTATCCTCTGAATCTCTAATAGTATACCAGCTCCAGTGTAGGAGGGTGTACTGTTACAATACGAATTTCAGCCTAGGTTCTTCTCAGTCCGTACATTCTATAAATGGAATCTTCGTTTTGAGATGCTGAAAGCGAGGTTGCCGATTTCGATGCGCAGGAAATAGGAATGATAATGCGGCTGGGCCTTTTGATATTTTATTCGGTGGGGCTGGCCCATAATAAAGGCCCGGATGTGATGTAACCCCCAACTCTAGAGTGGCATTTTTAAATATTTTAGCCTATTCAATGATATTATTGAAGAGAGAAAAGGAGTGACAATTCTTGAACGCTTTAAAAAGTCCGGTGTCATTACTGAAAGAAATACAAAGGGAGTGATATTTTTTACAAAAATGAATAGTTGAGTGGTATTTTGATGATATCACTTGAGAAATGTTTGGTGGAGAGAGTTTTTTTTATCTGTACAAAAAAATGTGTGGCAAAAAAATTGTAGTTCTCTTTGCTTGTTTTTTCTTCGGTTCTTTATTCTTATCTCTTTGCTTGATCTCTCTTTGGCTCTGCTCGTCGCTGTGTTCCCCTTCGCCTCCCTTCATCTCTTGTTGATTGATATGTGGTACGAATGTTAATGGAGTTGTCTTCATAATCACCTTTAGAGCTGCGAAGAGAAGTTTGTCGTCTTTATGTCGAGACTAGGTCATATGATGTTTAGGAATTATTCGTTCAAAACAAATAATCTAGTTTTTAGTTTTTTTTGATTTTCAATTTCTAGTTTTTTCATTTGCTGGGATTCATCCCACATCTGAAAAATCAAATACGCAATACTAAATAAAGAAAAGTGAAGCACTACCCATTAGCTTAACCTTTTGTTTAGAAAGTTGATCTAAATTTTATGTGGGAAAATGGTCAAGTCTCACCTGACACTCCGTCGTGTTCTCTCAGCCCACTGAAATTTCAACATCATCCAATACAAATACTAATAAATTTTCTTCCAATTTTTTTGTGTGCTTAGGAATTTTCCTTCCAATACATATACTTATATTCTATTTCTCTCACAAATTTCCAAATTTTTCCCTTAAGATTAGTTCGTTTTCAATATCCAGATAAGAAAAATATTTCTACCCGACGATTGTTCTAAAATAAATTTCACTTGATGTACTTCCCAATGTAGTAAAAAAATAAGATATAATTCAATTAAATTAATAAAGTCAATTTAAAAAAATAATAATTTTCATTTTTAAATACTTATGTTGTGAGTACTTGTGACACATCGTCATTGACTCATTGAATTTTTAAAAAGTGTTGAAAAATGAAGGCCTAGAATTCTCACGAGTTATATATCCATTTCTTTAAAAGGAAACGAAAAAAATATAGAGGTAAATTTTGGATGGACAAATTGAACAAAGAAAATGTCTAAGTTTATTTTGGGATGAAAGAGTATTGAAGACCATGTGTGTTGACACTAGCAATTTGAATGCGTCTTGGTTTTAAATTAACTTCAGTGTTTAGCTTCAACTTTTTTATAATTTTTACCATCACTAATTTTAAAGTGTGTGCTTTTTAAAATATTCGACGTAACTAAAAAAATCGTCTAAAATGGGATCGTTAATCACAAATATTGTTCGCAAACAAAGACTATATAATCACATAAAAAATTAATGTTTGACAAATTTAATAAGGCGAAAATATGATAAAGTGAACAAAATAATTATGCTTGGTATGAGGGAGCAGTACTGCAGTATTCATTTTTGGAAGTGTAGAAATATCTACCCAAAAATAAATTTTCAACAAAGTTCAAGAATAATAAATGAACAATGGTTGAAGACAAAAATAAATAAATAAATGAACAATGGTTATAAAGTCATCAATTTAATTAATGTAGGATAATGAAGAATGTAGAAAAACGAACTATATACTCCCTATTATCAACCATGCTATGGGTACATTAAAAAACGTACACCAAAATTATGCACCAACATTTTAATAGTTTATACTGACACAAAACGTTAGTGCGATAAAAAATTTTGCACTAGAATTTTGTGTCTGTATCAACTATCACAATGACACAAAACCAAGGTGCAGACCTGTAGTATACATTTTGGGAAATATTCCATTAATACTCTTATTTCATGTTACTGTCTTTTAAGAGTTTCACGATTCATGCAAAAATGAATGAATGTAGATATCTAGTATGTGTCTATTAACTCATTTTTTAAATATATCTTGAAAATCATAATGTAGAGTTAATATGAAGCATACCCCATATAGACAACAAAAAAATTAATAATTGAATCCTGATTGTAATAAACTTCTTACTCTTTTTTAAGCATCCCAAAAATATTTTTATTTTGTTTGAAGAGTTTTTTCTTATAATTCTTGTTATTCTTGAATTGTCATAAATTTTAATACATTTTCATTTTTCTTAAATATGTAAAAATTCAAAACGAGTGATTAAAAGTAAATGGAGGTTTACTTATTTACTCGATACTGTGTAAGTTTTTTACCAAATTTTTTTACTTTATACAAATGCAAGGGAAACATCAATCATTATCATCACATTACACGGTAAAATTTGTCTCAAGATTCCATGATGTTATGAACTCTCATTGAATTTTTTTGCTCAACAATAATAATTAGCAATTATGAATACGCCTATCACTTAGCTTGAATTCACCGTTGATACTGGATAACAATATTTTATAACATGCGAATTTATAACACTCTCTTTGTCTAGTTGGATTCTTTACACATTATTCATAGGTCAAATTGAGTCGTCTTTCTTTACATAATTTATACTATATTTTTTGTAAAAGTAACAAACTCATGTCACATTTTCTTTTATAGATCTTTTAATATAATTTTCAAATATATAAATTATATTTCTAATTTTATACCAATAATTATATAAAAGTTGTTGCAAAATCTACTTCCTAAATGGTTGGTTGTATCCACACTTTTCACCTAATTTTGCCAAATCCACGCCCATTAATAAAACTTTGTTATTGGTGTAAATTTATCAAAATGTGGTCAAAGGTGTGACTATAAGTCTATAATCGTTTAGGATGGATTTAGCATTGCCCTTAAATAAAATGAATTAAAAACAACATTAGTCAAAAATCGTTAAACATGCGTCAAGATAATTCAATCTTTAACCAAATTTGTGTTTTTTTACCCTCTTAATTGGGTGGATTTTGCATTACCCTTCAAACTGTTTCCTATTTGTTCCAATATTTTACTCTATTTTTTCATCCCAAAAAAACAGAGCTAAGGACTATTAATCATTTTATACATCACTCCGTATTATAATATCATGCTTTAAGATTAAGGACCAAATTCAATGAGGATGAACATAATTCAAGAAAAAAATCAATCCACTGGCTCAAAAAGATAATCTCATTAATGGTTTTAATTCGCAAAATAAAACCATTACACTGTATTTACCAAACATGTAATTCAACAGTGTGACAAAGGTCATGTTTGGTAAAGGAAAACAGTGGAGCCATGATGCAAATTGCAAGGACATTGCTATATTCAGATTTGATGAAAGCCAAACAGGTAATATAAAAAAAAAATAGAGAAGGTTTAATCACATCAACAAAGGACATGTATAGATACACATTATCAAGCCTCCCTATTACCCACTAATAAGCATGTTCTTAAATTCATCAAGAAAAGAAAAAAAAACACAAAACAAAGCAGCAGTTCTTGTCATAGCTTTTCTTCCCCTTTTTTTCTATCTCTGAACAAAGAAATGGGATGCCCTTGAATATGCCATGCCATACACAACTCGTAATCTCGGCGTCTAATTTCTCTAACCAGTCAATCCATGGTCATCGGTTGGGTCATGCAGCATCTGAAACGGGCCTTTCTGACCGTGGTCATGATCTCGGTCTCTGCAGCCTCAAGCAATCTGACCACCTCAGAGAAGGGAGGCCTAACATCTGGGTTAGGGTCCCAGCAGAGGGTCATGATCCCAGAGAGGGCAGGCAAGCAGTCATTTGGTACGGTCGGGCGAACACCCTTGTTTACAACAGCAAAAGCCGCCTGCACAGCTGTCATGTTCTGGAATGGGAGCATGCCAGTTATCAACTCCCACAGCACAATGCCGAAGCTATAAACATCTACTTTCTGGGTGTATGGCCTGTGCTGGATCATCTCCCTGCAGCTCAAATGTAAATTGCACATGTCAAATAAACGTTTTATTTGATTTTGAAATTTTATTTACAGATTTAGTTGCACACGGGCATTTTTAACAGATGAACTTTAAATTATCAGGGGATACTTGAGATTATACAGGACACTTCTAAAAGAAGAAAACATGGAAGGTGCATGCAGATTGTCCCGATGCATCATTTCTTTTGTACCCCAACAGAAATTATTGTCTGTGTCCTTTAGTAGAACATTATCATTTTTAAAGTCAGAATGTTGGTATCATGACAAAATAGAATGTGGAGTAAAATGGATCTAAATGACACACAAAACCAATGAGACTGGCCAGGCTACATGAAAGCATTGACAATCTCACAAGTCGTTAATAAAAATGCTACACAAAATGGAATAAAAATCAATTTATATTTATTACAGTGAGATCTTCTTTCACTAAGATATACACATGTGCAGAAACAAGATATACAATTGTAACAAGCTCAACACAAACAATACCGAAAACTAACTTAGAAATGTTATACATTGAACCTAGAAGATACCGCCTGGTGCCTTCAAATGTACTTTTTAATTATCGAGAAATAAAAGAATGAGCAGCGCTAATAGCAAAGCCATTGCAATAAATGCTAGGCTATATGCCCTCTATCAAAGACAATGTCTTATCTATAACTTGAAATACTTTTCCGGAAAAAAACTTGTGAAAATCATAAAACAACCATTTCTCGAAAATCCAATAGTCTATCTGTTTTTATGGTGTGCATGGTGCACCCAAACAGCAAATCAGCTACAGAGAGTCTAGAAAAGATAGTGCTAAATTACTAATAATAGATTATGTGAACTATGCATTGTTGCCAGAATAGGCATGAAAACAACAATTTAGGCAACGGAGCTAAAAGAGTTGTTTTTTTTCACAATGTTATCTCAACACTTCAGTCTTTAGTTGCCTTCCCCTTGCTTCTTACTTTCTATGAAATTTTGGGAAGTAAATGCAGTGATGCATCAAAGGTCTAAGGGAAACAGCATCTCTGTTTATTACAAGGGTAAGACGGTCTGACTGTGGTCTGTGTACATCTTGACCCATGTTGAGACNCCCCCCCCCCCCCCCCCCAAGACATCAACGTAGTTGATCATACTGGGTTGATGTTGCCGCATGAAAACAAATATCCTTTCTCATGAATACTTAATCTTTATTAATACAGTAATGAAAAAATACTTACATATTAGGTCTGAAGTACTAAAACGGATTGAAACAAATATAGAACACAATCATTGCATCACTTTGTAAGATACGATAAATAAATCAGAGGGGTTGAGAAAATTTTCAAAGGTGCTACTAAACAAACAAGACCTGGAATAATCACAAGCACTCACAGACAGCTTTGCAGTTCATATTTCAAACACAGCATTAAGAGTTTCCTATTTTCTTCTTCTGAAAAGTGGCCTTTTAAGTAAAAAATGCTCTTTGAGTCCTTGACAATTGTATGGCTAATACAATCTGTAGGCATCAATGAAAAGCTTAAATGATGTTTGGTACCACCTGTCATGTACTCATGTGTATGTGAACCATGCTTTCGTTTATGTACATTATCATCCTTTTCATTTGATCTCCCGGTATAAATACCCAAATTTATCAACCATTGAGTGAGCAGAAATTTAAAACGGAAGCAAGTAAAGGTAATTTTTGGAATCTGAGTAATGATTACAAATTGCTTAGTCTCCATGGCCATACACATGACAGGTGGTACCAAATATCATGTTTTATTGTCTGTCTCTTGAAAAAATAAATTACAGTGTTTTCTAATAATGGAAAGGAAAATAAAGTGCACAAGAGATTAAGAGTCCTCCAGCAGTTGCCAAATCATATAAAAGGGACAAATTAAGCACATTTATTTGTGTTACATAAATATGGGAAACTACATGTCATAATGGTTGATTTATTGTCTGAAGCTTCCTTGCAGAATGAGCAACCAAAAGTCAAAAATGATATACTGAAACAGTGACAGCGTGACACAAATATCAAAACCAAGCAGCAGTTATCAAAGGATTCAAAAGTACACTAGAAAAAAAAGTCTGTGTTCGGTTACAATTTAAGTAAAAAGGGTAGGAGCATTGTGAAAGATAAACTTAAAAAATAGAATGTGTCAAAAGATTGTGTTAAAAGTTATATTCCATAAAACAAAACAATTCATGATATTTTGGTAAGTTTTCCAGCAAAAAGACAATTAAGGTAAGTAAAGAATACTTACGGAGCCATCCAACGATATGTTCCAGTCTCTGGCGTCATTCCTTCTGTCTGAACTTCAATTCGAGCAACCCCAAAATCGGCAATTTTAATGGACTTGTCGGCAGCAATTAAAAGGTTGTCGGACTTCAAGTCACGGTGGATTAAATTAAGACCATGAACATATTCCATACCCCTCGCGACATCCAAGGCCTGCTTTACAGCTAATTTCAAGGGCACTGATCGGTTTTGTCGCTTTGTCAGGAATTGCCGCACAGATCCTCCTTTTGCATATTCAGTTACAATACACCACACCATGGGTTTCCGGCACGCACCAATAAACCTAACAATGTTTGGATGCTTCAACCTTGCCAACATCATTACTTCTTGCTCGAACTGCTGCTCCATCAAGAGAGCCCTCTCATGATCATTCTCTGGTCTCTCAAGAAGCTTAATTGCAACATCCTCGCCATTATAAGTTCCCTTGTAAAGTTTCCCAAACGCCCCCTGAGCAAAAGCTGGCCCCATATTGAGTTTCCTTAAATCTATTGTCCACTCATCATAATTCTCAGGCCCTTCTGTAGCATATTGTGGATCCATCAAAGCTTGGGCCAGAGCATCATCACTCAATCCATGGGAAACTTTCCCCTTGTTTACACTAGCTGCGGCTGAATAGTTGTTGGGAACACGCTTGAGACCCTGGTGGTTTAAGATGCGAGTGTTTGAATCATTGGACCCCACACTGCTGTTATCCATAGACATTGCAACGGAGCCTCCACCATTGCTCATCTGCAAGCTTGGATAGCTGTCAATTGACATATTTGACCCTTCACCGAGCTTGTGGTAGAAGTTTTGGGAGAGCCCATAATTATCATGATTTTGATTTAGATCTATTAGTCCTGCAAATTTTGGACCTTCCAACATTTTATCTGGCACAGCCGCTGCAGCACAAGAAAATTATACTTATTATACTTCAACTTATTCTTCAGCGTTGCTGTAGTGGGATTCAACTGGGATGTTGTTGTTGTTGTTATTCTTCTGCGCAAGCATTTACTTCCACAAATCTAGCTTTGCATATGCCTGCAAGAACCGTCAGACAGGTGACGAATAGAAGGGGAAACAATGTAAAAAAAACACAGTTTGACTTCTGAAAACCAAAGCTCTGATGAGATTAAATAACTGTGCGACTCAAATTCTTGCAAAAAACCAACCTTGTATTCTTTTCAACGAAGGTTTATGGATCCCCTGAGCTACCTGGAAACACAAAAGCAACATTCTTTAGAAAGCCAACAAAATCAATCGAAGAAAGATTCTTAAGCAGGGAACTAGTGGAACAAAACATGGAAAGTAACACCCCCAAATGCATAATGGAGATTATATATAAAAGAAAAGTGAGGTGACAAAAGGCCGAATAGCAAAAATATACTAACTTTTTAATCGGAATAGAACGGGAAACATGTGATTGCAAAAACAAAAATGAGAATCATTGATAAACCATTCGGAAGTACATCTTTTAGGCAAATAGTTATCATGATAAGATATAGTACGGAGTAACATATTATCCCAACCCTTTTTTTGTTTATGCAATTAAAGCCACAGATTACAGCCCAAAGAAGAAAAGTTTCAAAATTGAAGTAACTTGGAGGTGGAAAACGAAAAGAAAAATGGAAATACCGATAGCCCAATGCCAAGAATCAAACCCGAACAACAAAAAAAAACTGGAAATACTGAAGCTGCAAAACAAAGACCTCTGGAGCAAGAGAAATCCGGTTGATCCGGGGTAAAATCGGGAACAAATGCAGAAAAACAACTCGATCGATGAAGCTTGACTTGACTTCGCGATTGCGACGGTCGGTGCTTACCTTTTATTCAGTTCACACGCCGATCAATTGTCGCGAACGACGACGTTTACACACCGCACGGCCGTAGAATTTTCCCGGCAGCTGCAGGAAACCGCCGATGTTGCTGATGCTAGAGAGAAGTATAGCATAAGAGATATAGAGAGAGAAAGGCACGGGCAGACACACCGCGCAATTGAATGAATGCGTGTCTGTATAGAGCTCAGCTCCAGATAGAGATTAGAGAGAGAAATAGAGAGAGAGAGAGAGAGAGAGAGAGAGAGATGTCCCTCTTGTAGTCTAGTCTTCGTCTCCTCTTTTTTTTTTATATTCTTTTTGGTACGGAATCCATTTTTTCTCATTTTCTTCATTTATTTTGGATTTTTTCCCAATTGGATATTTGGATGAGGTTGTGAGGATGGGAGGGTTGGAGGACATAATTGTACATTGCAATTTTTTTTTTCATTTTCTACATTTATTTCATCCTTCACTGTTTAATAATTGATATAATATATTTTTTTAAATTAATAAGGTTTCGTTGACACTGGAATATGGTGACACTTCGGCACTACTCTCTTTTTAGAGTATGCTTTGTTTGTAAAATTGATTGTTCCTACACACTTCTAGCTCCCTGCTCCCTCGTTTCCTTCTTCCAAATGTGTGGCTATTATGCAAATCATAATAGACACACATTTGGAAGGGGCAAAGATAAGGGATGAAGTGGGGTATAGCGGGGGTTTATGAATGAGTTAGAGGGTAGGAATCATTAATTAATATTGTGAACAAAGTATCAGATGTGTTATAATGCAAATCATAATAGACACACATTTGGAAGGGGCGAAGATAAGGGATGAAGTGGGGTATAGCGGGGGTTTATGAATGAGTTAGAGGGTAGGAATCATTAATTAATTTTGTGAACCTTACTATTGAATTATGATTTCAACTCAAGGAAATAATTGTGTACAAGGTAGTTTATATAGATGGAGATTCCTACATCAATTAGGATTCTCCAAGTATGGTAATTAACTATAATAAGAATACTTCTATAACTAGAACTATTTCCATATTTATCTAACATCCCCCCTCAAGCTGAACGCCGGGAAACGAGCGGAAGCTTGGCGACCAATGCAGAGTAGCGTGGTGAAGAGAGAGCTTTGGTGAGAAGGTCTGCAAGTTGCTCATGAGAAGGAACATACGAGACTGTCATTTGTTCAGCAATTACCTGTTCTCGTACAAAATGGCAATCAGTACCAACATGTTTCATTCGCTTGTGAAAGACAGGATTCTTTGTCAAACAAATGGTGGATTGATTATCACAAAGGAGGTGAGGAGGAGGAAGCTTAATCTGTAGGATGTCAAACAAGTAGGTGAGCCACATTACTTCAGCTGCGGCAACCGAGAGTGCTCGGTACTCGGCTTCAGTGGACGACCGGGACACGCGGCTTTGCTTCTCCGTACTCCAAGAGATCAAATTTGAACCAAAATATATCAAGTAACCTGTAACAGAGCGTCCATCAGTCATATCATTAGCCCAATCTGAATCAGAGTATGCCTGAATGACTTGTGGTCCACGCCTGAATATCAAGCCATGATCAATGGTTCCTTTGACATAGCGAAGGATACGTTTTAAGGCCTGGAAGTCCGCTCAGTGGGTGCATGCATACGTTGACAAACATAATTCACAGCAAATTGAATATCTGGCCGTGTGTTGGTTAAGTACTGAAGAGATCCAACTAGGTTGCGGAAGAAGGTAGGATTGTCAAACGGGGGACTCCCCCCCTCGTCGGTCGGCCGAACAGGCAGCGGCGTAGGGGCTGTTTTGCAGTTGTCGACGCCGGCCTTGTGAAGCAGTTCACGGGCATATTTCTCTTGAGACAAGATCAGATAATCCTTTGTGCGTGTCACCTCAAGTCCCAAAAAATAGTGAAGAGAGCCAAGGTTCTTCATTTGAAATTCTTGTTGCATAGCATGAATAAATGAAGAGATGAGGGAGGAGGCGCTACCAGTGACAATGATGTCATCAACATAGAGTAGAACAATCAGAACACCAGAGGGAGAGTGCTTAACAAAGAAGCTTGTGTCATGTTCATTTTTCCCAAAGCCATAGTCAATAAGGAATCCGTGTGACCCGTGTGAGCGTGGGTGGGAAAGAGAGGAAGGATCCCACGGAAAGCCGGGGACGGAGGAGGAGACGACCTTGATTGTGAAGAAACGGTGGAGTATGGGAAGTGATTTTCTTGAAATTGGACATGACGGGAGATATATATACGACCTGTGGTCTGATCAAAACACCGATACCCTTTGGAGGAAGAGTCATAGCCAAGAAATATGCAAGGTTTGGACCGGGGTTGGAATTTATCAGTGATTTCATGACGAAGACATGGATAGGACAAACACCCAAAGATTCGAAGTATAGAGTAGTCTGGAGGTTTGTGAAAGAGAGACTCATAGGGTGATTTGTGATTTAGAGACCGTTTTGGCATGCGATTGATCAGAAAATTTGCTGTGGCTAAGGCTTCAACCCAAAATTTTGCTGGGAGAGGCGCCGTGCAAAGGAGTGTGACAAGGGTTTCAACTAAGTGACGGTGTTTCCGTTCTGCTACCCCATTTTGCTCAGGGGTGTACGGACAAGATTTTTGATGTAGAACCCCCAAACTTTGTAAGAACAAGCCAAATTTTGTGTTGACATATTCCCTCCCATTATCAGTTCTAAAAATTTTAATTTGTGTATTGAACTGATTTTGAACCATAGCTTGAAAACTGAGAAAAGCATCATATGCATCAGACTTGTGTTTAAGATGGTACAACCAACAAAATTTGGTAAAATCATCGATGAAGTTAATATAAAAGTGAAAACCTCCAAAGGAGGGTACAGAGGTAGGTCCCCAAACATCAGAATGAACAAGTTCAAAAGGAGCAGATGCTTTAGTTTGTGACACAGGGAAGGGGAGTTTATGAGATTTAGCAACAGAACAAGAATTACAATGATCAAGTTCTTGAAATTTAAAACCTAATTGAGATAACAGAGACTTGGTGACTTGAACAGAGGGATGACCAAGACGGCAATGTCATTGATAGGGAGTGACTTTGACAGAGTTGACCACTGGTGACGAACTGGAGGCAGGTAGAGAATATAATCCACGCTCACAGGGGCCCTTGAAAAGAACTTGGTTGGTGGTATTGTCCCGAATCATAAAATCCTTGGAAGTGAAAAGTAGGGAACAGTTATTATCTTTGGTAAATTGATGGACAGATAAAAGGTGAGAATTAATATGAGGGGAATGAAGGAGATTGGTTAATGTAAAGGTATGGTTTGGAGTGGTGAGTATACCTGAGCCTGTATGGTCAATGGGATAAGTATTACCTCCCGCAGTTGTGATAGAATTGGTGCCATGATAAGGTGAAGAAGTATGCAGCCGAGAAAGATCAGACGTCACATGGGTGTTCGCTCCAGTATCCAGATGCCAGTTCGGATTGGTTTCAGCAGATTGATTGGTGTAGTATGCCTGTGGAGGACCGGAGTAAGATTCATCGTAGCGGTGCCAACAATTCCAGACCGCATGACCGGTCTTACCACACAGTTGACATGTGATGCCGGCCCCACGTCCACCACCGCGACCTCGCGGTTACTCGCGGTAGGAAGGCAGCCGGCCTCCTCTGCCGTTGTAGCTGCTGCCGCGGGAGGGCCCTCCACGGCCACGATATGGCCCACGGCCACGACCTCGGCCAGTACCTCGTCCTGAATTGGTGAATAAAGCATGATGAAGATATGTTGACGAGGGAGAACCAGAGTCGCCAAGGTGCAGTTTCTTCTCAAAAGTGAGATTTAATTCTTCGGAGAGCAACCACGCAAATACTTGATTGAAAGTGACGGTTGCAATATTAGTGCGAATGTTTTGTTTGAGCGAGGCATAATCCGTAGGGAGGCCTCGAAGCACACACATGAAAATATCTTGTTCAGAGATGTCCTCATGAGCCAATTTCAGAGATGAGACAATAGTGAGAACAGTGTCCAGGTATGTTTGCATGGAATCAGTGCCCTTTTGGATGCTATGTAAGCGCTCCTTTAATTGAAAAATGTGAGTACGTGAGAGAGAATTGTACCGTTGTTCGAGGTGATTCCAAATTGCAGCAGAGGATGGAAGAGCATGAATATGAGTCTGAACAGTTGGAGAAACAATAGCGGGAAGACAGGCCCTGATTTGAGCATCAACAAGAACCCATGAGTCATAAGCAGGATTGGGTTTCATAACTGGCGGTGCATCCTTGCCAGGGGCAGCAGCTTTCTCGTCCAAAATAAGGGGTGAAGGAGGCACTTCTGAACCATCAACATATCCGAGGAGACGATGAGCGATGAGGTTTGCGCGAACTGTAGCAGACCAAGAGGGATAATTTGTATCATCTAGTTTGACCGGAGTTAGAGATTGAAGATTCCGGACAAATAATTTCAAGCCCGTAGGCAGTCGATCCATGGGATCAGAAGTTTGAGCAGCCATGGCCAATCGGTGGAGATCGGCGGCGTGGGGAAGACGAAGCAGAGACAGAATCGGCTGGGCCGATTTTTTTTTCGTTATCGAGAAGGAAGAGACGGATCAATAGGCTCTGATACTATATTGAATTATGATTTCAACTCAAGGAAATAATTGTGTACAAGGTAGTTTATATAGATGGAGATTCCTACATCAATTAGGATTCTCCAAGTATGGTAATTAACTATAATAAGAATCCTTCTATAACTAGAACTATTTCCATATTTATCTAACACTTACCATTTTTATATATACACGTCAACAAATATTTAACAAGTAGGCGGAAAAATTTAGTTTGTTGAGATGAAAAAAGTTATTGAATTTGTATGAGAGTTTGTACCACATGTAACTATGTAAGTCATAATCATACAACTTAGGCTAGGGGTGGACAATAATCACGAAACCGTTGTCCCGACCTAAAATATCTCGGTCTCGTTTCTACAATGTCTCGTTTTGTTAAGGATGACAAAAATTGTCCCGAACCCATTTCGAATCGTTTTGGAATGGGACATTACCAAGACACATAAATATTTTTCCGTTCCATCCCATTGTCCTTCATATATGTACATATCTATTTATTTATTTATACAATGATACTAAAAAAAGTATGTATTGAAATTTTTAAAATCAATTAAAAATCATTGGAATTAGGATTAATTAGAATCATTGAAAAAGTATCTATTGAAATTCAACAAATGTAGTAAATTATATTACGTAAAGAGTATAAACTAAAAAAAGTATCTATTGAAAATTTTAAAATTATTTTGTACATATAATAAACTATGAAATAAAGGAAAAGAGTAAATTAGAATTTGAGGAACCACACCTCATCATTTCTCAAATTCTCTCTAACCGCACTGTGGTCTTGTGGATGGATTCCGAGATGGCCATGTAGGACTCGGGATCGCGGGGAACACCGCCCCTTCCACGCAACGAGATCTGCGAGCTCCACATCCCAATGATCACCATCTGCTCCCCTCCCACCACATTTCATTTAAACTTCGACTTCACATTTCTTTTACATCACAACTTCTTCTAAACTTCTTACATATTATTTTAGAGAAATGACTGAATCATAAAGAAAATAGACACAAAATACATGAAATCATTTTAATCTTTTAGTTAGGTTTACAAATAGTAAGTTTGTAAACTCTATGATTATTTTGTTTGTGAATCTAGTATTTATCATTATTATATACTCCATTTGTTTTTTTAAAACAGTCATTCTTTCATTTTTTTTCTTTTTCTCAAAATACTTTCATTTTTGTAAAAAATGACCAATATATCTACATAAGATCATTACAATATACTCCTTTCAATTTGTATTAATATAATAAGTAACTTAAATGATTAATCTCTCATTTTTCTTTGATGTTAAAGATATAATTAGAGGGTTAAACTACTAAATTGAATTTATCCCAAGTCAAAACAGGAATGATTTTAGGAAACAGAAGGAGAATTTTATTCTGTATATATATCATCCACAAGAGGGCCCGCCCCGCTCGACATTAGAATCGCTGCCCACCCAAGATGACGACGTTGAGGTTGTGCCCGAAACACGATCACCGAAAAACAAGGAGAAGACAATATGCAAAGAGGGCATGAGCAATAAGAACCTCAAAAAATCTTGGACGTCTATAGAAGATGAAGCGTTGTTCGAGTGAGGTTGAACGTTTTTTAAAACCTGACTAAAGGCTAATTTCTTTTGCAATTAATTTAAATTTTTTATTTAATTTTTCATTTTTTAACCTTTTTTAAAAAAACTTTTTCGTATTTAGAAAATGCTCACAGCACGAAAGGTTTTTGGGATAAGGTTGTCCATGAGTTTTATGTGTGGATGAACGCGGAGCACTACTACCATCTCGATACAGTCTCCCCCAAGTATCGGGAAACAAGTTCACCGTGATGGACAACACCCTTTTGCGTCACTCACACAAGAAGTGCGAGTGACAAAGATGTGTTGAAAATGATACTTTAAAAGTATTACCATGCAAAACATTATGGCCCCTTTAGCTATCTCAAAGCAAGGAAGGTCTTCAATGCATACCTGAAATGGGTTCGATTCCGAGCAAGATGTCCCAGGCAAAATGAATAAAGATGTCGGAATCTACTTTATTGAGTGATGACGACAACGACATACTAGCCCTTTCAGATTCGAAACGACCCATTTAAAGGTCATGAAAACAGTCGTCATCGCCACAAATTGCCACACCCAAGATGAACTGGTTAGACGCGATCATGTCTCCCATGATCGCCTTCAAAATTTCAATACACAATACAAAACCAAAATCAGGCCTTGGACGAATTTGTTTTATGATCCATTAAAACGGTTCATTTCTAGTTTGAAACCGATACTTTGGGCTTGTTCTCTTCACATGATCTGATCTGATTATAATTATATTTAAATTATTTTTAATCTGATTTCAATAAGAATTAAGTAATAAGTAATAAGAAAAGAAAAAATCTTAAATATGAGTAAAATATAGAAAAAAAATACTATATAGGAGCTCCATATTTTTATTTTCAAAATAATAGTTTGTACTCTGATAATATGATACTGTATATGGACATGTCACAGTATTTTTTAGTATTATATATTAGCAGGATTGACATTCTATATGCATTTTAACTCATATTTTTGAAATAAAAATATGAAATAACTCTCTCGATATACTTTCCGCGTGTCACTCTTACTTTAATCGTTTTCATTAATAAGCATGAGTGGAAGTACTCTGTTCCCATAAAATTACTTTTGAGTGGCGCGATTTTTGCTGCAATAACTCGCAGGTCCTTGCATTTTAAAAAAGATATCAATGACCCTTACATTTTTGAGTAATTTACCTAAATATGACTAAAACATAATGATTTTCCCAAAATAAGACCATATGTTTTTATTTCCGAATGTATGACCTTTGGTCATTATTCTTTAGTCATTATTCAAGTTATGTCTATCATTCCTGGGCATTATTCTTTCCATGAAGACATTATTAAGTCCTATTTAGGGAATAAAAAAGTTTAAGTCCTAGATTAGGAAAGTCATTATGTTTTAGTCTTATTTAGTGCAAATTTCACTACATTTTTTGTAAAGACTGTAACGGGACATGTCGTCCACTATTTTATTAATGACCATTAAAAAAAATCTATCTTTCTTATTATGTTCTACTATAGTTACTTTAATTGTATTTATTTTTTATATTAGACAAAAAATCCTGAATTGAAAAATATTTACATAAGGGATTAAAAAAAATTATGAAAAAGAAAAATAAAGAAAAGAAAATTAAAAAGTGAAGGTCCTAAACTTTATTAACATAAACTATTAAGAGAAAAATAAGAAAAATATATATTTTTTGAAGGTCATTAGCAAAATAGTGGACAAAATATCCCAATATTCCCTCTCAGTCTTTATAACAAAATGTAAAATACCCTAATATTTTCTTAAAAATATAAAAACTTATGAGTTACTCCGTATTTCAACAAAATTCTTGTCACTAATTTTTTTACTTTGTCCCTCTACTTTCTGTTGCCATTTTATTTCATCTCTATTAGGGAGTAACAAATTTTAGACACGATACAGAGATCAAATCCAAACGAGCAAGTCGTTAATAAAAATACTTCCTGTTACAGTGTTACTCAAATCTATATTCGGAGACGACAACCAAAACCGTCGCTCTGTCGTCTCTTTCCGGCGCCGGCAAAAAAGAGGTTGAACATTCTAGAGAAGCGCACCTAGCAGTTACCTTAGGCGCTCTGGCTCAGCAGGCTCAGGGAAGCCGATCAAATCACACTCATGGCGGTAAGCATCACTACTTTTCAGTTCCATGGATCTATCAACGAACAATTCATAGCTGAATCGGTGTCTCGGTTCCAATTTACGAGCCCAACTCATTTGGTTTTGCGTTAACGTTGCAGGAGTCATCGGGGACGACACTGATGGATCTAATCACGTCGGACCCGTCTTCTACTTCATCTTCTTCTAAGTCGACGGCCTCCGTAGCTCCCGTCGCTACTTCGCCACCACGGACGGCGGCCGCGGCTGCGGCGTCCACGGATCGGAAGAAGAAGGGGATGCTGATGCAGATCCAGAGCGATACTATCTCAGCTGCTAAGGCTGCTCTCAACCCTGTGCGGATGCCTCAGAAGCAAAAGAAGAAGGTATTTCAACTTCATTTCTCGCCAACACGTTTTTAAGTGCTGGAAAAAGAAATGTAGCCACATAAACCTGCATGTAAATTTGAAATTGTACTTCGGAGTTGGGCCATTGTAAATGGATTAGAGTAAAAACTTCCAATGTGGTCATCAGTTTCACACTCGGTTAAGTATTGAAATTGAACAAATTCATAAAAATGACAATTCATTCCTGAAACTGTGAAACACCACTAATTTTCATTTAAATTAAGCACTTAGGCACAAGTGCACAACCTAAGTTCCACATTGAGCTTCTCTTTATATAGGTCTTTCATATGTTCTTCATTTACCTTTAAGTTTCCCTCTTTCATTGGTAACAGCAATTGATTAGAGCAGAGAACTACCCTTTAAGTTTTTGTTTTTCCTAGAAAATATTAGAGCAAAGTTTATGGAATGAATGTATGATGGAAGAGGCATACACAAGTATTGCTTCGATATTGCTTAAAAGTTAAAACTCATGTAACGGGCTAAGAGCTATATAGTGCAACTGTTTACAAAAGAAAACAGCTTTTCCCATATCCTACAACTCAGTTATGCTATTCACAGTTTAGATTTCGATATCATGGACCACATGTTATTTTTTCGCCCCTAAAATTCTGTTAATCACCACTATTTTTAATTATTTTATTAACCATGGGATTTAAATGGTAGAAAAACAGAATATGTTTTGCAAAATTTAAAACTAATACGAAATACGTAGTTCTGGCCGGTGGCCACAGGTAATTAGGCTTATGATAATAACAACAATAGTACCTGTTGCAGTAGCATTTGGCATAGCAGAGTTGCAATTAAATCAGTTGGACCTAGAAAGAAAAGTGAGAATATTAGGAATTCAGTTTTTCAAGTTTTTTACTGCTCATACTTCTTCAGGCAGGCAATTAGAACTAAACTATTTATGTGTAATTTCTTTATAACATGCTATCGTAATAGCTCTCAACTTTGTAAAACATTTTGGGAAGCAAACGTTATAGCCTTATTATAGGCTTCTAAGAAGTGTCACCGAACATTGCATGCATGCCCCCTTTTTGGATTAAAAGATGAGATAAATCAATGATATCCTTAGATAAATTAACCATCATTTTATGGGAAACTATCCTTCCAGATATTTCCAAAGTATGTTTATTGCTACCTGACCAAATGAACCCTAGACTTTCCCGAGATGTGTGGATATACTGTGCTTGGAATACAGACCTTTATAAATTTTAATGCGTATGATCTAGCCAATAAATTTATGCCATTCCATCTTAAGCTGCTTATTGTAATGCAATGATGTAATTTATTTGTATCTCCGCATCTGTCAGGCAGTTTCATATGCACAACTTGCAAGAAGCATCCATGAGCTAGCAGCCACATCTGATCAAGTACTTTGGACATTACCACCTTCTTTTCCATGCTCTATGTTTGATTAACTTTATTCAAGTGTTTTGTTGCTATGGAATTGTTTTTAGAAAAGCTCCCAGCGACAGTTGGTTCAACATGTCTTCCCAAAGCTTGCTGTGTACAATTCAGTAGACCCTTCAATAGCACCATCGCTTCTTATGGTATAATTCTCGCGACCTTTTTCCTAAGTGGTTCACCTATTCTGTAAAATTAAATGAAAAAAGATGAGATGTAGATAATACGTATCCTGGATTTTGGTATTTTATCATCATAATCAGGAGCTTCTAGTTCTAAGTATCAAACTGTTGATGGGCAGAACAATATCTGAAACCTCTTTGAGTTGTGATTATTGTTGCTTGAGTGACTCCTTTTATCTTTTGAACATTGTAGCTTGGTCAACAATGCGAGGATCGGACAGTTCTACGATATGTCTATTATTACCTTGCCAGAATTCTTTCAGATGGTGGCTCACCAGGCCTGAGTCCAGGTGGTGGGATACCAACCCCAAATTGGGATGCTTTAGCTGACATTGATGTTGTTGGAGGGGTAACAAGAGCTGATGTTGTACCGATAATAGTAGACAGGCTATCCTCTGAGGCATTGAACGAAGATGTTGAGTGTAAGTGTCTTGAAATCAAGCCCTCTTTTTTCGTGCTTCAAATCGATATTTCTTAGCTCCCACTGCCCGTGGAAGTTATTATGTTACAAAATATCAGATACAGATGAATAAGTGACAATGGAGATCCAAAACCACATGCTTCCTTGCTTATTCCTATTTTTTTTCAATTTGTGCACAAGGTTATATATAAGATCATTTCAGGATCATACATGGAGTTGAGATTTAAAAGGCTGACAATGGAGATCCACAATCACATGCTTCCTTGTTTATTTTCTTTCTATTTGTGCACAAGGTTATATATAAGATCATTTCTGGATCATACATGGAGTTGAGATTTAAGAGGCTGGATGTTGTAATTGTTGCTGACTATATTAGGGGGCCATCCTTTTAAATCTTTATTTAATCATTTCTCAATCAACTGAGCTCAGTGTCCTTTTCCTTCATGGCAAGATGGCGACTCAATATATACCTCTTGTCATTGAGCTGTCTGTTAAAGTATATAAATATATTGAATTATAGGAATATATTAATCATAGGAGTATGATAAAGTAAAGTAAGTCAATCGAGCTAAACAAAATAGAACCCTAGTATATCCCACTAAGGAGTAGGGTTTGGGGGTGAGAGATGTACACATACCTTTTATTCATTATTTAAAGATCTCTGACTCTCTGAGAGTGAAACTGAAAAGGAGTGTAAATGATGTTAAAAATACAGGAAGTAATCAAGCAGGCTATTGAGTAAGAAAACAAGGCAAACACAAAACACACTAACATTTAACCAACAACGTCAAACAACAACGAGTTAATAGGCCCAACACCAACAAGGTCTCTACTAGAATACTACCCTAGTACGGCATCTCCAAGAATTCCTATTATTCCTGAGAGATGTTCAAGACCACCATACCAATCTAACTTCCTCAATCCACGGCCGGCCTCTTCTCTTACCATCAACCAAGACACTCTCCACCCTTATTTCAGGTATTGTCATCTATGTGGCGAACATGACCAAATGACCACATATTGTATTCTTAGTTTTTTATTCAATACGCGGATTAATTTCCATCAGTTGTATATTTGTATTAATAGATAGACTATATATAGTATGTTGAATATTGTATTAATAAAGTTATGTATAAAACAAATTGATTATTGTCAACCACTATTTTTTCTTGTTCATTTTGCATATCCAATTGGTGAATTTTTTTGATTGGTTGGATATCATAGGGTGTTTTTACAAAACTACTATTTCGTTTATGCAACTTATGAATTGATTTCACAATCAATATAGTTCTATTTTTATATGAGTTGTTCACTGGTCCGTGAAGTTTTTAAGATCATGATTTAATAGAAAAAATTAATGGATCTGTGGACTTGTGGAAACAAACCGTTTGAAAAAAGCCGAGTTAGAGCGGCTTCCAATTTTTATTTTCAACACCTGCCCCACCTCATTCATTTTAAAAACAAGTGGGACCGGGTTCTACGAAAGTCAGCCCATGGCCACCCCTAGGCCCTAGGTAGACTGGTAGTCCCTACATGCACTTACATGTCTTATATCGTCTTCACATACATCTAAGGCACACCACTCCAATATCCAAGCTTCTCAAAATTACTTATAAATTATGCATAGTATCATGCATGAATAGGCTCCAAAATACGAGTACAGAAGTCTAAATATAATGCGAGACAATAAAGAATGATCCATGATAAACAATTAAAAACACCACTAATAATTTTCACAATCTAAGGAAAAAACTGGAAGGAGTTGGAAAATGTTGGAAAATTAAAGTGTTAAAAAATCATTTAATTAAATGATCACCCAAATAAATACGTCGGGAAATTTTAATTTTGGATAAAAAAGAATTCACCCTTGTCCGTGTTTGAGGTGGTATGTTATAAATTTGAAAATATAAAGTTATTCTATATTCATCAATATCATATATAAATATCTTTTTAAGTCGTTGCTGGAAGAAACTGGAAGGAGTTGGAAAAAGTTGGATGTTAAGCTTTCCAACTAAAAAGAACATGCCCTTAGTCTTCAAAAGTTATCAAATTGTAAGCCGAAAGTCAAAAGTCGTATCAATAAAAGTAGAATGTTATTCAATCCTTTGGCAAAGTGATAAAGGTTTGAGATGAGATTTCATAAAGATATGTTCTCAAGAAGATGGTATGGACATTGTGGTTTTGACCTGATGACTTAGCTGTTTCAGATTTGAAATGCTGGTCTTTATCTTCTAATTTTTGTTACTTTAACCAGCATGAGTATCATAAGCTTTAATACTCTTTGGATCTTCAAAGGTTAGGTTATCATGGTGGACGCACAACTCCTTAACTTTCTGTCTGTGATGTGTATTTGATTTTCTTTAAATACAATGATTGAGTATTTGTATGTGACTTACATTCTCACCTGCTGTTTAACCCGCTTCTAACAAACATCTGTCTTTTGATTGCCTTGTTGTTTTTTAAATAAAGTAAATATCTTCTGATCACCTTTTCTTTTTTCTTATTATTTTAGTTCATGCACGGCGACTCCAAGCTCTGAAGGCTCTTACATATGCACCTTCTACCAGCTCAGAGATTTTATCCAAGTTGTATGAAATTGTGTTTGGCATCTTAGACAAGGTTTGTCCTCATGTAAAAATATTGCCTTTATGCTGTAAGAGTGGTAAGTGTTTTACATCAAGGTCTTGACAAACGATGGGTTTTTAAAGGTCTGAAACCTATTTGTGAGCAGACATTGTTTGTTGGCTTTTGTTTTGTTTCATTTGTGTTTAATTATTATTTAGTTATATATGTTATGCTGGTGCCAAATGAGGACTTCTTCTTTTACTAGACTTCGTGGAAAATTCAGAATGAAAAAATCAGTTTACTCTTTTAATGTGACTACATATTGATATGCATGTGAGTCAAGTATTTTCACTAATGGGAGAAAATGATTGTCACCCTCAGGTTGCTGATACACCACACAAACGCAAAAAGGGAATTTTTGGCGCCAAGGGAGGTGATAAAGAGGTAAAGTTGCCAAATGTTACCAGCATCTTTTTATCAAAGACCCCCTCTCCCCTCTCGCTTTTACATATTCATGCATACACACACACACACACACACAAACACAAATACAATATTTTTGGGCAGTTAGTGTGTTCCTTCCTGATTCACTCTAATAATAGGTTGCATATCTTTAACTAAAAGATCACAGGAGGTTGAGCCAGTGATAACACAAATTTATAACTATAAAGCCTATAAAAATATAACTTTACGTTTACATTAAAAATTTGAAACACAATTAGAAGTGGAGTTTTTAAGTTTGAAAACTAGTTACCAAATATATATTTCTAGCACAAAGTATGTTCTAGTTAAATTAAGTCTTTAAGATGTATGATATTTTTTGGGGGGGGGGGTTGAGTCCTACCCTAGGACTAGGGTAGATGAGTAGATCCGCCATCAGGTGTAAGATGTTTTTTGTAGTCTATTTTAGAATGAGAAGATTTTAAAAGGAGCACATATGCTGAAAATAGTTGAAGAAAAACATAATGTCCTCTATGCTCAGTGTGCCTGTTTTTTGCAACAATTTAGACCATAGCAAATGCAAAGCAAATGAATGGTTATGTATGTATGTATGTATGTATGTATATGATGAAATCCTTCATGTAATGCGAATATGATAATGTTTGCAAGTGCTATGTCTCGTAGAGGGATGCCAATAAAACAGTTCTGACTACAGAAGTATGATGTAACCCAAATAACTGCATATCAGAATGACATTCAGATCACGAATAGATCATGAATTCTGGTTGGAGCTCTTACAGATTATTTCCCTCCTCGTCTTCCTATTATTTTTTCAGTCTATAATTCGGAGTAATTTGCAATATGCTGCATTAAGTGCATTGAGAAGGCTTCCTTTGGATCCAGGAAATCCGGCTTTTCTCCACCGTGCAGTGCAAGGGTTTGTTCCTAATCTCATTGTGTCACACTACTGTTTTATAAGGCATTTATGGGCTTATGGCTTGTGTTATATATTCCCTTGCTACTTTAAAAATACAATACGCATATTCCAACGTCTTTGCGGCATGTATCATTTTTACCACTACTTTGATATCATTTATGATGAGAACTTGATCGTTGTGATGGTTATAGTGTCTTAGCTTGATAACAAAGATATTCTTGATATTCTTCTACCAAATTGACATGAATACCTGTCTTCTAGTCAAGGCTCTTAATTTTGACATTTCAAGACAACCGACCTCAAACCTTTGCGATTATCGTCCTTTTGTTTTTGGATTTGATGATAAGAGGGTGTAGATATTGTTGAGCATAGCATGAGGTGGACCTATCAAATATTATACTCCGTAATACTTAACAAACTTACAGAGTTATATTATACTTGTATATGCTGCATTTATTCTTCTAGTTTTAGTTCTAAAAGTATAACAACATGAAATATTTTACTCCGTAGATTATTAATACATACTATGGTGTTGGGCTCAACATAACTAGATCTATCCTCTTTTCTGAGCATGTGTGTTCTTCACCAACCAACACTCGGCCCCATACAACAAAGCCGTTCTAACCCCTGCTCATATAGTTTGCCTTAAAGTTTCTCTGACATTTTTGTCGCACAACCGCACAAGACACCTGAGCTAGCCTCCATTTCATCCGGCTCACTTCAATACGATGGACAACATCTCCATCAAGTTTGCCATCAACTTTAATAATAGATCCAAGGTACCAAAATCTATCCCTTTTGGGTATGAGTTGTAAATCAATCTTCACCTCCACTTCCCACTCACTTGGTATTCCGATGAAACAACATTTCTGTTCAGTTTGAAACCTTTAGACTCCAAGGTTAGCCTAGGTCGCCACCACACCTACGATCTTTCATTGACTCCCTCATGCATTTTGTGAATTAAAATAATGTCGTCTGCAAAAAGCATTCACCAAGGTTAGTCCCATCCGCACTGTGAAGGGATCTGAGTCTCCTCCCACTAACTTCACACTCGTCTTTGCTCCATCGGACTTGTTTTTATTACTCTAATATTTGCTGACACTCCTCTGCACTCCAAACACCTCCACAAAAACTCGCACTGAACTCTGTCACACGTCTTCTCTAAGTCAGTAAATGCCATGTTTAGCTCTCTCTTCCTACCCCTGTACTGGTTTATCAACCAATCAAAAGGCGAGTGGCCTTTTTGGTACACCGTCCTGCCGGTTGTGGCGTGAAACTGAATTTATTCTCGGAAATAGTCACCTCCTTCGTCATCCGCGTCTTTATTACCCGTTCCTAGACCTTTATGGTATGGCTATGCAATTTGATGCCCTTATAATTGTTGCGATTTTAGATATTGTCTTTGCCTTTGTACAATAGAATCACCATGCTCTCCCTCCACTCTTTGAGAATCTTAGCCTTCTTAATAATGCCACTAAACAACTCAGTAAGAGACGCAATCTTCATTCTGCCAACAATCTTTCAAGACTCTACCGCAATCTCATCCTGCTCCATCATTCTTCCCCTCCTCATCATGCAAATAGCCAACATCCCAACATGGCTTCCCCCATTCTGATACGCCTACAACACCTGAAATTTTGACGACTCTCAGATTGCCCCAACCCAACCCACCCAACACAATACTCCTCTCCCTTTTTGCGGCTGTGGAAGTACAATTGCCATCTATGCTTTATGACAGTTGCTTCCATCAGCACACTACCATCCTCCCTCATGCATCTCACTCGGTCTAAATCCTGCTTCTTCTGCTCTCTTACCTTAGCCAACTGAAACGATCTATTCTCCCCTCCTTTCTCCTCCAGATCCTTATACATCTCTTCTACAGTGACCACGATTAAAAAATTTCTCCCTATTTTTTGTTGCACTTTTAATGCTTCTTTACTCCGTAGTTATTAGTCGTCAGTCTAAACATGTTTTCGATTTCTAGAAGTGATGAGCAAGTGAGCCACCATAACAAGTACTCCCTCCGCCCCCCAGTTTTTGTCCACTTTTAATTTGGCACAAAAACCGATATGAGGTGTTAAAAGACACAAATGCCCCTAGCCCTCTGTCCAGCTCACACGCCTCTCAATTCGCAGCTCAAACTCCCTGATGCCTTCTTGCATCAATATGCAGGCCAAAGTCTCGCTACCCAGCCTCCCCCAACAACCTCCACCATCTATCCACCGTCCAACTTTGGTTCTCCACCAACCAACCCAGATCAATTTCAAAATTAAAAAACAAAAAGAAAACTGAGAAACAACATTTTAGATCTAGATTTTAGAAATCTAGTCATCAAGATCTAGGTCTTGAGAAGAGATCCAGCGTTCAAAGACATCCGGCCGTCGAAAACATCTAGTCGTCGTCGATCTCCAGCGGGCGTTAGAGAAGAAATCATCTATGGAGAGGATTTTTTCCTCCTCAAATTGCGTTGCTGGGATGAAGGATCGGAGGAGAGTTCAAGACCGAATGAAGTACATGTCAAGATAGTTCTACTCACCATCTCACAATTCTAGGGTTTTTTTGGCAGAAAAGATGAGCTTTGGGGAAGAGGAAGAGTGAGAAGGTATTGGATGTTGATGAAGATGACGATACAGATCTGAGTAAACAGGGAACTAGTGGAGACTTCTAGATCTTAATGTGGCAGGGATGGGTATTTTTACCTTGGGTGGGTGGGGAGTAAATGATGTGGGTGTTTAATTTGAGAGGGTAAAACTGGAAATGCGTTTAATTTTTATTGCCAAAATAGGAAAGTGGACAAATACTGAGGGACGGCCTAAAATGGAATAGTTGACAAATACTGAGGGACGGAGGGAGCACCTAACAAGGTCAAGGCACCCAATCCCATCTGCTAACAACAATGCTGTGACTGAGGGTGTTGCTCAGAAACCTGATGCAGCTGCACCTGCACCTGCAGGTGTTAGCAAACAGATCCCAGCTGAGTTTTAGGGAGTCAACACTAACAACTACTGTGCTGATGGCCAGAACTGTGGGAACTTCCTTACAGATCGCCTGTCATCCAAAGTCCATGCAGCCTGTGGTGATGGCTCTTCACTGGATTACCTCTTTGGAGGTGGCACGTGCGGCAGTGCATTGGAACCGGAGAGGTGCTGGACATCTCAGAAAAATATAAATTATCTCTGCAGGCAAAGGTTGTGCGCCGGGTGTGTGGGCCAGATTCTGGCGGTGGGGTTTCCTTGATTTTTTCGCGACAAGGAGAGGAGTCTACTGATGTGTTCATCTTCAATCACAACCACATACTAACACTCATCGGAAATGTGACAGCTCACCACAGAAAAGAGATTGTGCATGCATATTGCATAGCAGTGAACTGGATAGGGGAAACTGATTAGACAACCTAAGTAAAACACTGAAAATTTTATTTAAAAAAGCCTTATGGATCAAGATGCACTGCTACTATGTGAAATATTTAGATTTCAAGGCTAGGCAGATGGAGAGAGCCACCACCCATTGGCAACGGAAACAAAATGAACCAGAGGAGAAATGCAAAACACCGATTTTTATTAACTCCGATTGTTTTAAAGAGTGCAATACACTTGTTTATGAATTAAATAAAGTAAAGGCATAAAGAACCTAATGTTGAATGTGAGTTGTGTGTGAGAGGGAAATGAGCTGTACCATTTATGAAGTGTTGCTGTCATCCTTATATCTGAACAGCATGATAGTGCAAAAGGAATGCCTACTACACTGGATTGGACCACCAGTAGATTTGTTATGGAGTTATGAATCTATAAATTCAATTACTTGTGTACTGAGCAGTAGCAACACTAAATTTTAAATTGGATTTTATGAAAGCACTGTCAAACACTCACTAAATAAGAGAACTTTGGAGGTCGGGGTTCTAATACTAAATGGGTAAGTACATGTGCACAAACCTTTCTTATTTAATATTTCTAAAACTACTCTCTCAATGCCCTTTATATGCTGTGGCAGAGTCTCATTTGCGGATCCAGTTGCTGTAAGGCATTCTTTAGAGATTCTCTCGGAGTTAGCAATGTTGGATCCTTATGCAGTTGCTACCTCATTAGGTAACTTTATAAAATTGATGTGTTTGGCTCTCAATTCACATTTTAGTTCTGCTTTATGCTTTGTGCAATATAGATAGTGTTTGAGCTGAAGTGCCGAACTGTTTATATCTATCATACATTCATACCCCTTCTCTTAGTTTTGTCGTCGCTCTTAGACATGCGTGGAGCTTGAGTCCTACAGAGCACATATTTAAAAGCTTGTTTTTAAACATGGATATGGTATCAAATTGAATGAAACTAATAGCTTGACACCTTGCTTGTGGAAACATGAACATAACAACTACCTGATATATGTAAATATGTAAGCATAAACAAGTACACATCCCTTGAACTTCAATTATGTATTTTATTAGTGCGCGGACTTAAAACAGTTAGGTTTATATACTTTGAAATATTATTTGGGCCGAGATATCTCAGTCCGCTCTTGTAAACCCATTCTCTGTTTCATCCGCCCTTCACATCCATTTATCACCTTTTCATCCAGCAAGAATATGAAAATGATAGTATAAAACTTATTAAAACTATTTAAACGTACAATTTTAATATTTTCATTCCAACTCACGTGTTTCTGACATTCTTGCAATGTCTTGGTTGTTACTTTTTTTTGTTGAATGGTGTGATTGTGGGCTTATATTGGAACAACATGAATATTTTAGCCATCATTTTTCATTTTATTTAATGCTGGTGAGAGAGCATGAAAATGCTTTCTGTGCAACTGAGGACACAGATGGTATACAGTACAGGTTTTCAAATGACCCAGATTGTTTTCTTGTTTTTGGTAATACTAAAATATGGGTAACAACAACAACAACAACCCAGTTGAATCCCACTACAGTAGGGACTACAGTAGGGTCTGGGGAGGGTGTGTGTACGCAGACCTTGCCCCTACTCGGAAGTAGGGAGGCTGTTTCCAAGAGACCCCCGGCTAAAATATGGGTGTGTTGAAGAAATCAGAAGAGAAATTTTTCATTTTGCCAATATCTCAGAGAGATTATTACGTAGTAGTTTGTAGTAATTCATTGACTAAGTAGATACCATTCATGGTTAGATAAGTACACACAATTGTGAATTAACATATTTCTGTTAAAATGTTTTTTACATTGATGGAATGCTGACTTTATTCGTTTGAAACTAATCTGTGTTACATATGGTTAAAATGGTACATGAATGAAGTATAACTTGATTGTTTTTTCTCTGCAGGGAAGCTTGTGCAACCCGGTGGTATGTTTTATATGCATTAACCACATGACATCTGTAATTTCCTTTCGACATGTGCTAAGATTTTCCTTATTTTTATGAATCAGGTGGTCTACACGATATTCTACATATGCATGATGTTCTAGCCAGAGTTGCACTTGCTAAGTTGTGCCACACAATATCTAGAGCCAGGGCATTAGATGGTATGCATAAAAAGATCTTTAGAATCTCGTGTTTTTATTTTTTAAATATATAGGCTGGTATCTATGGCATTCAACTCCATACAAGCATTCCATTTTTGTAACCTCCTATATGTCACTATGCAGACAGGCCAGACATTAGGTCTCAGTTTAACTCGTTGCTATATCAGCTACTCCTTGATCCAAGTGAAAAAGTTTGTTTTGAAGCTATCTTTTGTGTACTTGGAAAATTCGACAATGCTGAGAGGTATTATTCGTTGTTTCTTTTTGTACTGTGAGCATGTAAATGGGTCCCTGCAGTTTTTTCGTTTGAATTTCTAATTTGCTTTCAACTTATCAGGACCGAGGATCGAGCCGCTGGATGGTATCGGCTTACAAGAGAAATTCTTAAACTCCCTGAAGCGCCTTCCATGAAGGAAACCAAACCTGAATCAAAAGATACCGTTCCACCTAAGTCGGCCAAAGATAAGTCTCAAAAGACAAGGCGCCCTCAACCTTTGATCAAACTTGTAATGAGGAGGTACTGAAGATCCTTCTCTTCTTTTGATCCCAATCTTTAAGCTTTTTCTTTGCCCTTTATTTTGTTAATGTCAGATGATTGACATCCTTTTCAGGCTGGAAAGCTCTTTTCGCAGTTTCTCTCGCCCGGTACTTCATGCAGCAGCCAGAGTTGTTCAGGAAATGGGAAAAAGTCGTGCTGCAGCTTTTGCCTTGGGTCTACAGGATCTTGATGAAGGAGCTTATGTTAATACCTTTGCTGAGAATGACTCATATGATCCAGATCTTAATGAAACGTCTCAGCCTGAAGGTAGTTTATTGCTGTCTAGTCTTCAATTTGCCACTTGTATGCTGTTTATTGAGTTTATGGATCCGTTATTGTTGACATTCGGTACCTCATATGGCATACTAATGGAAGGGTGACTGAGCATTTTTTGGCTGTATGTGTACATTTTTTCTCCAAATTCACTAGAAATGTGGCCATTTTCAATTTTCACTGGTACATTTCAAAAGTGTCATGACAATGCCATCTACAATTTGCAATCTATACATGCACATATGCTTTATATGGAAAACAGATAGATAGTGTGACCATATAAAGTTGTTTGGTTAAGGTGTAGTATGAACGAAATGTCTTGTGATTGTAAAACTACCTTAGAAGATAAATCTATCATTCATGACCTAGAGAATAATTTAGCTGCAGTGAGATTGTAAACATGGATTAGTAAGAGTGCAAAGATTGACCATATTAGGAATATAATTTAGCTGCAATGAGATTGTAAGTTGTAACTAATATTTATTAATATTATTTGCAGATGTTTCGTAATTCCAATATATGTCTCTAGGTTACCATTTGGAATGAGTAATATGAATGTTATGGGAGGACTGAAAAATGAACGAGGAAGAAGTGAAATAGGATTATCTTGAATGGATTTTAAAAAATTAAAAATGTAAAGGAGATAAATGCTAACTCCAGGGAACAATGCGGTCACTGTTTATTAGGATCTAACGGAGCTATAAATAAACAGTTATACTTTTAAATGTTGTCATCTGTTTGCTTTGTTCTTTGTCTTTTGTCTTTTTACTTATATTGTTAATTAAAACTTGTTATGTTAGCTAACCTTAAAATGTTATTCACTTATCCTTGAATATATAGTTGTAGATGATTACAGCTACAAATAATCTTAATCACTTTTGAATCGGCTCTGTATTTACACTGCAGTTTATCTTCTTGCATTGCCTGGCATATACTCCCTCTGTCCCACTATTTTCATCCTTTTTTTGTCTGCCCCACTATTTTTGTCTCTTACCATATTTGGTCATATTTATGTGGTTTACATTCAATCTCACTTTATTTTACTTTTTCTTACTTTTTAACATCAATATCAACCACACAATCATACTTTTCTTAATTTTCACGCCACTCCCTCTTGTCCCAAAAATAGTGGGATCGAGGGAGTAGTTTTCATGAACTAACCAGCCATGGTTTGTGATTTTCATTTTTCTAAATTTTTTATGTGTCCATTTATTGTATTGGCTCACCTTATGCCATAACTGGCCATTTAAGCTTTGGTATATGCACATAACATCTGGCCTAATTCTACCCCTCATAAACAGTTCACTACATTTTGCTGATGATTGAATTCTTATATTCTTAGGCATACGCAGAGTTTCTTCAATTTCAAATGGAGCTAGTGGCAAAGATACAATTGCTAGTCTGTTGGCATCTTTAATGGAAGTGGTGAGAACAACTGTTGCATGCGAATGTGTCTTTGTTCGTGCTATGGTAATAAAAGCCTTGATATGGATGCAAAGCCCACACGATTCGTTTGATGAATTAGAATCCATCATTGCAGCAGAGCTATCGGACCCAACTTGGTCTGCAGCTCTACTAAATGATATATTGCTTACACTGCACGCTCGTTTCAAGGTATGTTACATGAGAACTCTGAGATTTTAGAGTCTGTATATATAGATTTTCTTCCATTTCAATTCAAACTAATTGGCCTCTACTGTGTTTCAAATGTTATGCTATGGTTCCCCTGACCTCTTACATACTTTTTTATTGGGATTTGCCTTACGATTTTTCTTTTTTCGTTTTAGATTAGTTGGTCATGTGTGGGTATTTTCATACATGAGTTGCTGGAACTTGCAACTAATCTACCCTGGGTTTTTTCATCTATGAGTGGCTGGATCTTGCAACTAATCTACTCTTTTCTATTTTGACAAAGCTTGGCAAAAAATTACATTCCAGAATGCATATGTAAATAAAATGCTATGAATTTTCTACGCAATTTGAACCTTTGATTTTTTTTATTATGTATATTTGGTCTATTGCTGTGTGTAGTTATTCTCATCTATGAATTGCTGGAATTTGCGACTAGTGTGCCTTTTTCTAAACCAGGAAAGTTTAAAAAGATTACATTCTAGAATGCTTGAATTTTTCTACATAATATGTACCTTTGAATTCGTTATTATCTATATTGGGTCTAGCCTGTCATATGAAAGCGAAAATTTTCTTTTACTTCATCATTTGTTTAATTTTGATAAATTTCTGCTCTTCAAAAGTTGATTACTGAACATGCATAAATAATTAAATCTCTCTCTCTCTCTCTCGCTCTCGAATACTTTGAAGTTATTTGTATCAAACATGGATACGTCTTTATATATTACATTTACGTTACACGCATGTCATGTTAATTCATTTTCAAATTCTTCTCATGCTTTCCCTCGGGTCACTTAAATTTGGAACATATTTCTTGGTGCTTAATTTGCTGTCGAAACTTCTGAAATTCATTTTAGGCTACATCTAAAGAAAAATTCTGAGTGGGGTATAATGTGTTTGTTTGGTTATTTGAATTTGTATTTTTAGTTCTGCATACACCTAGCAAAAGTCCTGATATGTCAGTTACCCTTTTAGAATTAGCATATTCTCTTTATATCTATGTTAGCATGTTACACACTTATGTTCTCTTCACTGTTGGTTTGCCAGGCGACTCCTGATATGGCCGTTACCCTTTTAGAACTAGCAAGAATTTTTGCAACCAAGGTTCCTGGCAAGATTGATGCAGATGTGCTACAACTACTGTGGAAAGTGAGGAAATTTACCAATATTCCATTGCTATCGAGATTTCCATTTTCCCTGATATCTAAGTCTAGAATCTTGTTTCTTACTCCATATGTTTGTGATAGAACTCGAGATTGGTGGGGAAAATAAATGAAGGATAATCTTTATCAAATTATGAAATCAGGATCTAACTTCATAAATAATAAAGATGAATGAAACTCTTTATCAGAATAAGAGCAAGAATCTTAAATTCATTTACATAATAAAGCCAAGGAGAATCTCCAGTAATAAGTATTGAATTATTTTCAGGATAACTTTTACGAATAATGAGCCTCAATATTTATATAAGCCAAATAACTACCAATCCCTAGAGTTTAGGCCCACTACCACATTAACTAGTAACTATTCCTAGACTTTAGGCTCACTACTACATTGCTTAGCAACTACTCCTAGAATTTAGGTCCACTTACACATTATAAACTATTTAGTAACTAACATATATAAAATAATATATTTGACCCTTTAAGCAACTGACCCCATCTGACTCTATTATTAATATTAAAAACATAAAAATAACTGCATATGTGGCACTCTATCAGGTTGTAAACTGGTACCTATATTTTTTGCCGAGTCTCGGTTTATACAAATTTTCGTACCCATTAACCATATTCTCCTTCGAAATTGATGTTTTGTGAACCAACTTTTATGTGTCTTCCATCTACTGCAAACTCTGAAACTATATTTTCTACATTTCTTTTAAATTCTTCATTTGCTTGTTTTTTCTGATACCCTTCTGATCTGATAAAAATATGAATGTCCATGACCTCTAGACTTGTTTAGTTGGAGCTGGCCCGGATGGAAAACACACAGCTCTGGAAGCTGTTACTATCGTTCTTGATTTGCCTCCCCCGCAGCCGGATTTGATGCCAGTAATTACCTCAGTTGATAGGGTATCTGTATCAGATCCAAAGTCAGCTCTGGCGTTGCAAAGATTGGTCCAAGCAGCAGTATGTTTCAAACAGTAATTTCTTTTTTGAAAACTTTAATGAGGTGAGCAGTTGCTGAAAGGTGAGCAGCTTTCCTTCTAGTAACAATTCTGTGGGCTCTTACACCCTTGTAGGTGTGGTTCCTTGGAGAAAACGCAAACTATGCTGCCTCTGAATATGCTTGGGAATCAGCAACCCCACCTGGCACAGCATTAATGATGTTAGATGCAGATAAAATGGTTGCTGCTGCAAGTTCTCGTAATCCAACCCTCTCTGGTGCTTTAACCAGACTCCAACGGTGTGCTTTTAATGGAAGCTGGGAGGTATGTGTTCTTGCTTATAGACCTACAACAATAGGCTTCATCGTGCCTGTGATATGGAACATTGGTATATATCTTAAAATGCACTTATTTACTCCATGAATTTATGAAACAGAGAATTATCTCCATGATTGTTCCTCTCTTTGGATTACGGGAGAAGAGCAAATGATTGACATGTATGTTAGTGATTAATAATGCTCTTTTCGTTAAAAAAAATGCGGGGAAGGGCTTTTGATCATGCATGCATTTTAGCATATGGTTGGTCTATCCTCTTTGACTTACGAGTTTAGTTGACTAAATAAATCAAGCCCGAAATGTTTTTTATTAAAACCTTCAACTCTTGTATGAATAAAACAATATGTCTCAAGTCTCTACAAGTCTTATGTGCCACTATCATTCTCTCATAAATTTTTTATTCATTTTTACTCCCTCCGCCCCAAAATTATCTTCCCAGTTACTACTACAACTACTACTATTATTGTTATTATTCATAGGGTCAAGCCATATTTTCTTTTCTTACATATTTTTATTGATCATTTGTTAAAGTAAAATAGTTATGTCACTTCTTATTTAAAAACTTTGCAATAATAATTAAATAAAGTGAATTGTCAATAACTTGAGTCAAACACCATAAACCGGAATGGAAAGATAATTTTGGGACGGAAAGCTCATCATATAAATCCATGGTTGTACTGTGACTTAGCGAGGCACTAGTGGACCTAGACATAGCCTTATGTATTAGGCACACGCCTAAGCGACATTTTGTGGAGCTATATTTAATATATTACTCCGTAATTATAATATATCATATATATTGAAACTCCCCCTCGATCCTAAAAAGCTCAAATTTGAAGAAAAAAATTTATTATGTCCAATATGTTTTTATTGGGATGGAGGGAGTAGATATCTTATATTAGTTATATAAAATACTATATTATATCTATAGTTAAATTATAAATTATATCACAGTCATTAATAAATACTCAGTACTATAACACTAATGCAAAAGTCTAAAAGTAATGGAAGATAATAAAGGAAGTCCCATCCGGAGCAATAAAAACATCACAAATAACACACACACACGCACCCACACACTGCTGGGGCTCTTTTGTATACTGAAAAGGCTCAAAAGAAATAGTATTAGAGATAATAAGGATTCAATGATGATGAACATGAAAAAGGACCTACAGGTAAATCCTCCAACCTTACTTTGAAAGGCATGATCTAGGGTTAAGAATTAAGATTGAATTAATTCATCATAATTATAAGTCAAAGATTATTTTTAATTTTTTTTATATAACTTTTGATTTTTCTCCTTGAGAGAGCTGTGTAATGAGGAAAGGTAGTGTGTTTTTTGGTTGCCCCTTTCATATGCTATGAATTTCTTAAATGGAGAGGGATCTATGTTACTGAATACTTTGGAATATAAATTATTTTAATCACTAATAAAGTGGAAAGTGATTAGTTATGTAGTTATGTTGAGATTTTACAAGGATAGCTGTTTTTTACGATTGTCATTTCTCACATCTCCTTGTGAGCTACGTGGAATCACCTTGGTTTTCATTTTTTATATCTTCAGGTCCGTATTATTGCTGTCCAAGCTCTCACCACAATTGCAATTAGATCTGGTGAGCCTTATAGGCTACAAATCTATGAACTTTTACATACTCTAGCACAAGGTGGTATGCAATCTCAGTTCTCAGATATGCATATCAGCAATGGAGAAGACCAAGGTGCAAGTGGTACCGGTCTTGGATCTTTAATAAGTCCTATGTTAAAAGTCCTAGATGAAATGTACAGTGCACAAGATGATTTAATAAAGTAAGAATGCCCTACTCTTTTGCTTAACATTCTGAAGGGATATATTCCGTATTATATTATCCAAGCATTTCAATTTTACCTTAAGCGGTATTTTGTGCTTAAACATATAGGGAGATGCGGAATCATGATAATGCCCAGAAGGAATGGACTGATGAGGAGTTAAAAAAACTATATGAAACTCATGAGAAATTGTTGGATCTTGTCTCTATGTTCTGTTATGTTCCTAGAGCAAAGTATCTTCCCCTGGGGCCAACAAGGTTAACTATCTTTTTTGCTTATATTCATTGCAGATAAATAGATTTCCTGTAATGTTTTAGGTTAACAGGATGGGTGTAAGATCTAAAAATAATTTCCGTATAAAAAGAGGGCTTAATGGTTTGAATTCATTTTTTTTCAAGAAAGTTGTACAATATATGCAACATATTTTCTTGTGGGGAAAGGTATATGGTTAAGAAGTGAGCTTCCTTGACAAAAGAAAGTTTTAACTGATGTGTGTGTGCATGTGTGCAACTCTGTATGCTGATCTCCACCTGTGTGAGTTTCTATTTGTAATTGTAATAGGACTAGATAGTTTAGTAGTAGGTTTTCAGACTTCTTAGCTGTTTTGCCAACCAACGTGTTAATTTCACACAATCACATTCTTGTGTGTATTATAACATTTAAGTGTCATTTTCATTTTTCCCTTGTGTTTATTCAGTAGTTAGGGTGCTATAGTATCTATGGTGTCAATCAGTACTGTTCTCATTTCAATCTATGTACTAAACAGTGCAAAACTCATTGATGTCTATCAAACTCGGCATAATATAAGTGCTTCGACTGGCCTCGCTGATCCAGCAGTTGCCACGGGTATATCGGATCTTATATATGAGACCTCCAAAGCAAAACCTGTCAAGCCAGATACACTTGATGACGATCTTGTAAATGCTTGGGCCACAAGCCTTGGTGATGATGGCTTATTGGAGAGTAATGCACCTGCAATGAATAGGGTACAGTACTTAATCAACTTTTATTTATTTATATATTTATTCATAGATGATTTTTTGTGAATAACTGTATCATGTTTCATTTTTTTTAACATTAGTTGACACTAGATTTCATGCCACCAACACCAACATTTGGGGTAAAGGTGGTGGTGATGATTATAGAAATTCATAGAACTACTAATCAAGATATCTTCATGGCTCTCTGCACTGAGAATCAGACTGAATTAATTTACTATTGTAACTGCAGAGTATGATTTATAGTCCCAGTCCCTCACTAGTAGTAGGGAGCGCCCATAATTGACCCTGTGGGGATGCTTTGTGCACTGGGTTGCCATGGACTCTTAAAGACCAGCCTTTCACTCAGTCAATCGATGATTTTTCTTAGAAAGATATGGGGTTGTAGTTTTGTATTTCGGGTGTTGTTCCATTTACACACCTGTAGAAGTTCACCATTATCTGGTTCACTGAAACGTGTATTTTGAGAAATATCCAGGGTCTATCTTGCATATTGGTTAGGTAAACTAATTTTGTGGATACAAAATGTAAGAAGGGATGTTTTTCCCCTGATAATCAGAGGGTTGGAATAATAGTCTTCCCTTAAATCCCATTTTTGGTACATTTTGTCACTGAGTGGCTATCTTTTTTCATTACTGTTAATGCTAGGTGATGCTTTCTTTTGACTTTCTTTCCATGTGTTTTTATGTATCTAATCACATTGGAAAATACATTATCTCCTTTCCAATGCATATAGTAACTCTTTCATATTTATGTTTCATGTAATTTTTGTAATCCTACACTATAGGTGAATGAGTTCCTTGCTGGTGCTGGTACTAATGCTCCTGATGTTGATGAGGAAAATGTTGTTTCCAGACATTCTATGAGTTATGATGATATGTGGGCAAAGACTCTCTTAGAGACTTCAGAAATGGAGGTTGGTATTCTCAAAGCTATTGTACCATCTTTGTTCATCACAACATTGTGCAGGGCCAAGGTCTTGTAATATTATTTTTACTTGCTTCAGGAAGATGATGTGAGATCATCTGGCTCTTCATCACCAGATTCAGTAGGCTCAGTAGAGACATCCATATCATCACACTTTGGTGGAAGTTATCCCTCGTTGTTCAGTTCTAAGCCAACTACATATGGATCTTCTCAAACAAAGGTATGTTAGTATCAACTAAACCCTTTGTTCTTAAGTTTATTGAAAATGGTTCTGGTTCTTCGGTTTAGTGAAATTGTTGTGAAATGTCCAAGGAGAGTTCAGATTCTTGGGGCCATTTAGAAAGCTGGAAAATGACTTCTGAAGTCATATTCCCTTTTTCCAGTGTTTGGTAAGTGGCAACTTAGGAAAATGGAAGTCAATGGCTTGGTCAATGGAAAATGAGCTCTGATTTCCAGAATTTGTCTTCCGCTCTTGAGATTGGGAAGACATTATCCAACCGGTCGTCTCCTCTATGTCTACTGCGGTTCCTCTATCGTCACACTCCTCCACCGTGGCCGCTCATCGTTGCTGCTCCTCCATCAATGCTCCTCCATCGCTGCCTCCATAAGTGCTCCTCCATCTCTGTTTAGCCCTCCCACCATGGTTTCTCCAACATTGTTTCCTCATCGATTCCTCATACGACCCCTTAATTTCACACTCTAAAGTCCAAAATTGCAGCCTCCAGCGTAAATATCCTCTCTAGGGATTTTCGTCAGTCCCTTTCCAATGGACCCTTAATGTTTCTTAGTGTTCCATGTCCCAGACCCTACTTATGAGGGATTCTACTACGTTCTTGTTATTTTGTAGTGTTCGATGTGTCGAAAATTGGGGGGGAGTGTTGAGGGTTAGTTAAGATGGAAGGTTTGTTGGGGTTAGTTACCCACCCCCATGGATCATCCCTATTCACTTTTTCCGCTCACAACTAGTTGGGATGAAGGTGCTAATGATGATGCCAGAGACAGGCACACAAAACTATTATTTTTGCTATTTAAAGCGTTTCCTTCATTAGGACAATAGGAGATATTTTAGGCGTGTTTCTCCCCAAGGTCTAACACTCTAACATAGTGTTTTTTTAACTCCTTTGGTCGAGAGAACTGAAAGGTTCCTGAATGGATGGGAAAGTCAGCATTTAGTTTGAGTAGAATATTGAATTTGAGTAGAGGCTTGTCCATATACCACACAGAGTCCACATTCCCATACCTCCCATCTGCTCTCTCTCTCTCTGCTCCAACCCCCACCCACCCCCATTCCACCACCCTCTAAGTTGACTTTTATGATCAGATTGTGTGTGCGATAATGAATTTCATTTCCTTTAGAGGAGTTTTTGATGGTGATTGAATCATAGAATATACTATGCATTCCATTACTGAGGCTCTATTTTGCTGCTTTTGACAGGACAAATCGGGTGGGTCGTGGTATTCTAGTAATTCTTATGGAACCTCTTTAGGAGGTCTTGGCTCTCCTGTAAGGCCTCATCACATGGTCCTATCTTCTTTAGTTTTTCATGTGTGAATTTTCATTTTATAGTAATTTCAGATACGGGAAGAGCCTCCACCATATTCATCACCAATCCATGAAAGAAATGAGTCGCTTGAGAACCCCTTAGCTGGTTCTGGTTCCTATAGTTTTGAATCACATGATGAAGAACGGCCATCTTCAGGCAACCCACAGTTTGGTTCGGCACTTTATGACTTTACTGCAGGTGGTGATGACGAGGTAGGTTCATTCACTTCATAGATCTGCTTTTCTAAAAGTAATGTCATCAGATATATTGAACCTTTCTAAATATTCATGTATCTGCACTGAAAGTTTGCTTTATTTCTGACATGATGTGTTTTGGGGGTCTTTGTTTCTATATTGCTTAATATGGAGATAAGTTGTATATTTCCTTTTGCAGCTAAATCTGACAGCAGGAGAGGAGGTTGAAATTGAATACGAAGTCGATGGTTGGTTCTATGTAAGTGTACTTTTCGTGGTCAAAGTCATTTTAATTTGATTATGTGACACAAACATGCTACTCGTTTGAGTTGACAGTTGACACGAGTTATTTGAGCCATGATTCTTCATTTGTATCAAAATTTTCAATTAATAAATAAACTTGAGCATACATGTCAATGTGCACCTGCAAAAAAAATCTCTATCTTCAACAGGCCTTTGTCTTGTAGTTGTAGACTTCCAAACAATACCATTTGTCCCTGATGATTAGGGGGTTTCTTGGAAACAACCTCTCTACTTTCAATTAGGGATAAGGACATTTTTTCCGTGGGATTTTACTGGGTTGTTGTTGTTGATTAGTTAGTAACATGTTTCATAATTAGTACAAGCTTGAATACCACTCCCTCCGTCCCGGAGTGGTTGTCCACATTCATCTGGACACAGAAACCAAGGAGGGAATAGAGAGGAAAAATGACCCAGTTGCGCTTTAATTAAAAGAAGAGACCGATTTTGATGAGGCATGGCGGATTTGGGATCCTTATCGATGAGGAAGTAGAGGGTGATGCCGTGCTTGCGGAGGTCCTTGACACGGATGAGTGGCCACTGCATGCCTTGGCCCAAGAGGTCATAGATAAGGATCTTATACACCTCTTTGTTCGCCATCTCGCTGGCATTCACCAGCTGATTCAGATATAACACCCTCGCTATGCACTCTGCTGTCAAGATTCGATCAGATTCAATAAGATTGAAGTTAGACAATTGAAGTGAATTACCTGTTTGTATCTGACAAAGATTGAGCGCCAATGCAGGAGAGCTCCTCCTAGTGAGAGATGCGATTAAGAGAGGGTGTCTCCTCCGTGGCCGGTAGGATGAATTCAATTTGGAAATGAATTTAGTGTGGGATGGCTCAAAAAGGAATATAGGACTGACACTCCGAGACAGTGGGAGTATACTGTATCTTATCCATTGTTTCTCTATGATTTTATAAGCGGGGTTATTGCGCACTATTAATAAAGTTGGGGTAAAGCTTTTTCATGGCTCCCCAGATCAATACATTGTTGTATGTTGCGAACTCCAGATAAAAAGAGAGTTTGTAGAACTCATGAGGGAACAATATTATTTGCTAATAGGCTAATCAAGTTCTATGCTGTTTTAGTTTTACAAACATGAAGAGGTATATAGGTCACTTTGGCTTTGAGGGATCAGACTGTTAGTTTTTGGTAAACTTGGCAGGCTTCCCTAAGACAATGAATTGGGTTTTCTGAGAATTAGTTAAAAAAGGTGAAAACTTGGGTGACATTTGGTACACTGTGATGCAATGCGTTGTACTGTGATCAAATACATATTTGTGTGAGTTTTACAATACAAGCACATTGGTTGCACTGCATTACATTTAAACTATGTCTGACCAAACAAAACCTTAACACTAATGCTCTTCTCAATTCTTTTTGTGTCTTGGTGCTATTATCACTGTTGAATTTATTACATCAGAACCAAGATTGTCTGGTCATACTTCGTAATGTCATCCATTGCCAATGTAGCTTAAAGAGTCATTATTGACAATGTTTTAGTTTTGGGCACGTAATGGACTAAATCAAAGTGGAAGATTGAGCTTCCTTTGCTTCTTATCAAAGCATCTTGGGTTTAATGGAAGCAGCCTCTCTGTTTTGCACGGGTTAGACCGTGTACATCCTTACACCCAAACCTCAACGGAGATGGTATTATATTGGGTTGTTATTGTCAAGAATGATGTGCAGCATTCGCTTACTTTTGTCTACTCGTGTAAGAAGTTACTGTGTGCAGGAAGGTGCTTATATTAATGGCATTTCATTCTTTTTTTCAGGTAAAGAAAAAACGCCCAGGAAGAGATGGAAAGATGGCTGGTCTAGTTCCAGTACTTTATGTCACTCAATCCTCATAAAAATGGTGAAAATCATGATTATTTAGAGTTCTCTATGCAATGCACAATCTAAGCATCAATGGCATATTTGGGTTTTCAACATCCATCGCGTTAGCAAGAACAAGAATACATGGGTTTTGGCCATGTTCACTTCACATGATCAGTGCACAACCGTCTACGTGAAATACTCAAAGTCATTCTATTCATCTATGGTTGCCATGATTTTGAAGTTCACTGATTTTTTGGTTGCTGGTGGTTGAGTCAATAGACACGCCTCCCCCTCCCCCCCCCCATCCCACTCCATAGGAGCTTCTTAGTGATATTATAGGACTGAGAATGAGTTTCTGTTGTGAATTTGGTGCGTATCATAGTCTTATTTGATTAGTATAGTAGGAGCTTCTGTATTTGTGGTGATGGTAAACAATGCACACCCGTCATTTTATTTATTTTTTTCTTCTATTGTTATCAACTTATTATTGTGGTTCTTGTTAAATATTAATCCATTGTTTTGTGCTTTTTTCACGAGTGACAAGTAAATATTGACTTCAAGACGTGGTGGTACACCGGTCACATATTCACATTGCAGCATATGCCAAGGTGACATTTTAAGCATTTTCTCTTCTAAGCTTGTTTATTTGTTTGGGGTAACTTGAGTGTCTTTTCAATAGGAGATTTCTGATCTTTTCCCCCCTGCCAGTTTCTGTATTTTCACTTCTAGTCGTGTGTTTACCTTCGTGTTACCATTATAATTTGTGTGAATGAATTATTCATGTTATCACAGTGCTTCGTAACACACAACTTGGCTCTGCCGAGGTAAGCCACTTTTTTTCGTGTAATGTTCAAGTTTACGTTGGAGCTGAGTTGAGGCTTCTTTTTATTTTAGTTTTCTTTGACTCACCTAGCTAGGTTTCTTTACTTTTTTTTATTTATGTTGTTTTTATCTTTTCGTTGATGAATTTTATTACTCCGTATATCCGAGTAAATATAGTGCATTTATCATTCATAAATACCACTGTTGTACGGTACCCTATTGAGTTTTTTTCCTTTTAAAGCTCATGGAATAGTCATGACTCGTGATATTGTCCCATGGAATATTATTCATTAAACATTCAAGATGGAAGATTTTTTGTGCAACAAAAAATGTTCTAGGTATACCACCCTCAATATGGTATTATATCCTTAGCCGAATACATGAGCGGAACAATTTTTAGATTTATCTTATAAAATCCTCCATATTATTAAAGTATTGTTTTATCTAATTAAAATGCCATTTAATTTTTATTTAATTATGTCAAAGAACAATCCTGGTTGACAGACAATTACTTTGAGATGGAGGGGTATTCATTTTCTGAAAAATAAGCCAAACAGAAATAGATCATTTTCAGACTTTCAGCCAAATACCTAAAAATAAAAATGACTTTAGGAAAAGTATTCATTTTGCAGTACTCATTTTCTAGAAGTTATTTTCCTGATTCCAAAGTGACCCTTAAGAATGACCCTTACTTGATGGATATTTTTTGCAGATGATTACCAAGAGAATATACCTAAATCATAAAATAACACGTAGAAAATTACTCATTGATGATTAATTTAGAAAAACACTTATCACTGAGTATTTATTAGGAGAGGAGTTAGTAAAATATAAGTAGCAAGTATTCATTCTACTCCGTCATTCCAGCCATTCTTAAATCTTGATCCACCATTCTCGTTCTTATTTATTACTCTTACTTTTCGAGTTTATTCTACAAATATCTCCCGTAGTTTGGTAAATGTGCACTATTATTCTTCATGATTTCAAAACTTATGTCGTTGCCTTCCATGGTTATAATATTTCTACGTCAATGCTCCTTTAGACTAAAATATACTTCAAATATTAAATGAATACCTCCGCTGCCTCTTATGGTTTTGGAAATGAGCACCAATGCCCCCCCTCTCCTTTTTCTTTATTATTTTTCTTTTTTTTCCCTTAGAATAAAAATGTTTGTTCGTTTTCAAAACTGTATTTTTAAAAAATTAAAAATATTACTTACTCCGTATTTGTTTTTGAAATAAAAATGAAAGAAAATTTAAATATTCTTCATTTTTCTCACATTAGATATTTTCATTTTTGCCTATAAAAAGTTATTACTATGTTTTTAATCTATTGGGACCAAAAGAATTCAGAGTAAGGTCTTTTTAGTATTCAGTTAATCATATATTGATAGCATTTTATTGAAACGATGCGGAACAAATTTCCTTCATTACATAATTTTCCCTATTGTAAAAAAGTTTTTTCTCGTATACTTTTCTTTTTCTTCATTTTATTTACTTTTCTTTTTTCTTTTATTTTAATTTTAATTAAAATAAAATAAATCTTATAAAATTAATTTTTTAAAAAAAATCAAGAAGAGAAAAACGATAAAAATCATAAATGTGAAATGAGATTCAGTGAAAATTAGGAAAATGTTTTATTGAACTTTGTATCATGAAAATAAATGAAGGACCTCTTTTGGACAAAATAAAAATATTTAATGAGACAAATGAGGGTAGGTTAATTTTTTAATTTAATTTATTTTTATTTCAAACATAAGAATGTTGAATATTAAAACATTACGGAGTATAAAAATAGTTTTAAAAAAAACTTAAAAAAACATTTATGAAAAAAGAAGAAGAAAAAAGACTAACAATACAGAAAAAAAAGTGAGGGGCATTGGTGCCCATTTTCAAAACCATATGAGGGAAAAAGACCTATTCATCTATAGATTGAAAGATCTTTTAGTCTAGAATGACATTGATGTAGGAATACAAGAACCATGAGGAACAACGACAGAAGTTTTAATATCATGTGGAGTAACAATGCACATTTAGCATACCACATGGAGTATTGGGGCAATAAGCTCCTTACTATTCTTTGGCCTTTAATTTGTCGAGTTTCACTTTTTTGAGCCAAATTAGATAAATTCGAGTTTTAGTTATTCTCAATTTGTAAAGCATATTACTCCCTCCGTCTCATATTGCCCGTTTTGACTTTCGGACATACTTAAGGAAAAGAAAAAATGGTGGCGACTTTTCAAAAATGTCTTACTTTTTTGTGGTGCTGGCGATGAATGAGAAAATAAGGTGAAGAAGAGTGTCTTAATTTAGAGGTATTTTACCCTTAAAAGTTTATTATTATAAGAAATAAAGAACTTACGTAGTATTTTGGAACGAACAAAAAAAAAAGAAAACTTGCAATTTTAAATGGAACGAAGGGAGCTCTTGAGAGTGAAATAAAATTTTGAAATTTTGCTCTACATCTATAGATAGCCTTATATGCAATCATTAATAATAATAATAATAATAATAATAATAATAGCAATAATAATAATAATAATAATCATCATCATCATCATCATAATCATAATAATAATAATAATAGTAATAGTAATAGTAATAATAATAACAATAATAATAATAATAATAATAATAATAATAATAATAATAATAATAATAATAATAATAATAAGAACCACCACCACAATTACGGGGTATTAATAACAATAATAATAATAATCCTTGTCCCTAAAAAATATCATTTTTTATTTGTTCCATCATTAGTTCCATTGTTAAAAGAAAGCATTAGAAACTCATGGTGTTTTTTACAAAAACACAAAAATTAAACCAAGAAGATTTTTACCGACATTATTTGTAAGTGTACACATTTTTCAACAAGTATTGACCGTGAAAATACCCATATTGACGAGTGCTATCGGTAAAAAGTGTTGATGTACACCATGATGTGCAATTGTACATAAGCCATTGATGGTCAATAAACCACCAAATACAAACTAGATGGGTTAGTAGAGAAGATGGGTGGCCTCGATCAATGGAGGTCATCCACTAGGTTCGACCTCTATCAATCGAAACGCCTGAGCTATTACTCCCTTGTCTCTGGCTCTTATCTAGTGACGTAGATCAAAATAAATTGCATAATTCAAATATCGTAAATTGAATTCTTGGCAATGTTTTCTTCAAAGCAGTGAAAGCAAGGCCATGGAAGAATGCCCTAAATACATAACATCATAAGCGCCAGATTCATAAGATTATAAAATGCAGGTCAAAGAAAATCCTATTTCAGATCACACCAATTGGCTCGGAGAAAACGCACAACATTTTTTGACGCAATGTGTGTGCACACAGCAGCTTTCATCTGGTCACACAGAGCATTGTTCTGAAATATATGAAAACAAAGAGAAGAATTTGAAAATTGCACGTCCCATAAGTTGTATAATCACGCCGTTCAAACTTCTGTTAGGCCCCGTTTGGTATACGGAATTCAAGCTACGGAATTGGAATTGAAGACTTCAATTCCAATTCTGGTGTTTGGTAGCACAAAAATTATGTAGATTTGGAATTGATAATGCAAAAAATGAATTGGAATTGGTGAATTCAATTCTATGGAATTGAAACCTATGGAATTTCAATTCCATCAATTCCATATACCAAATGGACCCTCAGTTTTGAGAAACAATGAGGAGACGAGAAATTGAATATACTGTATATGGTGCATGAAAAGAACTAACCCCAGGTCTGGCGCAAGTCGAATGCCAGCTGCATGACAGCTCTTCTATCTGTAGAACTAGAAAATTCCATATTTATTACTTGTTGGAATGCAGACAAGATTTCCCGCCTTGTTTTTGAAGAGAGAATTAGGTAATCTGGGCCACGAGTTGTGCACAGCTCGGCCACCTAAGTTAAAGAAAATAGAAAGATGTTAATCCAGATACTCACTCACACTCACAAGGTACATATCCATCAAAGAAAGAATGAAAAACACCTAAGAAGAAAAAGGAGAGGCTTAAATATGGCTTCCATCCCTACATGGTACATATATAGCTTCATTTTTGTTTTAGGTCCTACACGTTTTTTTTTTGTAAAAAGTATAACATATTAACATGGAATACGTGACTCAAGTCTGTGTTTCCACACAATTTTTAAAAATGCTTCATATTTCTATTCCCAAATAGTTAGAAAAGCATAAAAAGAAAGTAAAATGGTAAGTTTTACTTGGCCCTATCCACTAGTGCATTGAACTGTAATTATTTAACATGACTGATACAGTCATTATTGTTGTTGTTGTTATTAAATTATTATTATTATTATTATTATTATTATTATTATTATTCTTTTCCTATTGGCAGTCTTATTGTAATATAGTTTAATCTTCCTAAAGAAAATTATTTTAAGTCTTTCATTGGTAGTCTGATTCTATGACTCTATGTTAGTTAGTACTCCTAAATAAAATTCATGTTTCTTAGTATGATTATGGTAGGATTGGTAGGTCTCTTATAAAGCTTTACCGATTTATACTTGCACAATCATAAATAAGATCACCCCTAGCTGAAGTAAAATCTCTAATTATGAGAGAAGCTAGTCACGGGCTGCTCTCCCCTCCTTTCAACAGGAAGGATCAACATCATTTTTTACATTCACTAATGTGTCTGTTACAATTTGTGAACGTGAAAGAAGTCGATTCTGCCCTACCCGTGGTTGGGAGGTGGAGAGAGCAATCTGTGACTAACTTCTCATGATTAGATATTTGATTTCAACCATTAATGATCTTAGCAATCTGTGGAAGTTTAACCAAATTACACGAAGACTACTAACATGATACTAACAACATCAAAATACTCCCTCCGTCCCGCAATTGATTACAATGTTTACTATTCCAAAATCACGATAACTTTTGTTTGTTTGTGTATTTTCATTAATTATTTGATAAAATAAAATATTTTTGTCACCTCTTATATTGTAAAACTTTTGATGTGATTTTAAAATATGTAAGTTTTATTTTTTACTTATGTCTCAATCTTTAAATAGAATGAATTTAAAAAACTCAGGATTTTTCTTTGTTTTCCGCAATTTGTAATCAAAATAGGGACGGAGAAAGTATAATACAACAAATTAATATAATTTCAACATCATTTCTCATTCCCAATTTGATTCTTTTACTATTTTCAGCTCACAGATATTACAGTTATAAATATCTTTAATTGGTTGTATAATCCGTAATTCACAAAATGTAATCTAGATCAATTATTCACAAAAAAAAAACTAATTAAATTAATACAACAGATTTAAAAAGGGATTTTTATTTTGTTTTTAAGCTATGTCATGTTTTCCCCATTAGACTACCATGGATGGAGTATGTCACCATAATCCATGGAATTGGACAAAAAGGACCTATTTGAAGATAAACATATAATACACAGAATAATTGTATACTTATCTCTGAAATTGGATGAAGGGACTTATGTGAAGAAAAATATCGAGCATGGGGTCTAATTTGATGCAATTTATGATATAGGGACTAAATAGAATATTTATGCTAGTATGGGGACCTCAATGGTACTATCAACGTGGATAGTGTGTGAAAAATGTTTGACAAAAAAGGCATGCGATTAAATAGATTTATACATAAACAACATGAAAACAATAGTACACTAAATAGTAAGCAAGCAAAGTGTGAATGACAAAAAAATCATGGGCTTAAAACAGTTAAAGCACTATAATATGGGAGAAACATGTATTTAAGTCAAGAAAAAGATCATAAAGTTGGTAAAAGAAACTTACCTGTTGCAACCAAGGGAGAATGGAATTCACAAATCTTTGCTCCGAGAAATATGAAGCAAGAATTGTCAAAAGATCACATGCGGTCTTTTGCGATATGTTTTCAAGAACAGGACCCGTTCTGTCAAGCAACTGAAACAAAATAAGTTCATTGCCTGAACACAGTGCCTCCAAATATGCAGAATCTAGATCACCATTCAGCAGATGGCCTTTCACAACATTCCACATGCTATTCTCAATCTCTATGATATTTTGTTTGTCAGTTTCTCTTGTTTGACAACCATGGGCTCCACGTGCAGAGCTTCGCTGAGTGGTGGTCGTTCCAAGAGGATTTTTGTTTGGTTTTGCTGAAGCTATATTCATCCATATATCCTGACTTTGTTTAGAAGCCCCGCTAGGTCTGCTTTTGATAACTTCCTTTTCTGCCCAAACCTTTGTATCTTTTGAAGGCAATGATGGTGCCTGCCTGTGACATATATCAACAGATGGCCTAGGGGTGCATGTTGAGAATCGAGGAGAAGCAACAGCAGGGCTTCTTTTAATGAGCCTTGTGGTCATTGGATCAGAACACTTCCTGTCAAGAGCTAGTTCTTGGGCCATTCTATCAACTCTGTCCTCAAGACCAGAAACCTTCATCTGTACCACTGACAGGGTATCTACTATGTTTGTAGTTACCTCCTGAATATCGCATAGCAAATTATAGAGATTATCAGTGATTGCAAGAAATCCAAAATCACGCATTTTGCCAAGGCTTGTGATTTTCATGAATACGAGTTTGACTTCTTTCAATACATTTAAAAAAGAGAATGGATTTCAGGTTTGGCTCTGATGGGTTATACCCAACTACCCGAGTTATCTAGTCCAGTCACCTTCCGGTAACCAACCAGGTGGTCAACATCTCAAAACCGGTGATGGACCCAGGTGTTCCTACCTAGGTCCCCCTTTGGTCAGTTCTCTGGTCTTTGTGAACTCGCCTTAAATCTAGCTAGTCTCTTGGCTCAAGCCTATCAGAGAGATAGACAAACTCCGATGTTGGTTTACACTATTAGGCTGCCTTAATGGGCTCCATTGTCAATGGGGCAAAAGAGCCATTTTTATAATGTTTTAGCTTTGAGTAAATAATTGAATAAATCAAATTGACATGTTAAACTTCCCTTGTTTCTTACTGCCTATGAAGTTTTCTATGAGCAAAATGCAACAATGCATCAAGGGCCTTGCAAAAATAGCATCTCTATTTTTTAGAAGGATAACACTGTGTGCACTCTAACCCCCAAACCCCATCAGAGTTGAAATTATACTTTTGTTGGCGTACTGCCTGATTGCCAAGGCTTCCTATACTGGTCATTATAGAGTTCTATCAGACATTATGATTTTCACCAAAAAGATTACACAAGAGGGATAATGTCAAATAATATATGTCATGGTTTATCAAAATTATTATGATGATCCATATTATTTAAGATATCTGACCAAGTTGGATTTTGTGGATACCTTTAACAAATCTTCAAAACTAGCTTGAGTGTCTTGAATCATTATGAGATGCTTTTGAATGGATATTATTTCATTTGCAATGTTTACATCACATCCATGCATCATGTTGGGGATTGATTTGGTAGTGGTAGAATCTAAGCTTCTTCGGTCCTGCATCCTAGACAAGTGACTTTGCTCTTCAATAGTCATTGCTCCCCCACTACACTGCTCATTTGTAATTGTAGATGTATCCATACTCACTTCATCTAGAACAAAATGAGAAGATGAAACTTCTTTGGCATGAAAGTTACTGGGGAAGGGATTTGAGACAGAGGAGCACTCCTGCTTGTCATCTATGTGTACATATTCATATTCAACATCATGAGAACATGTAACATCAGATCTCTTTTCAATAGTCTTTGTAACAGAACTGCAATCTGGCACCGAATCTGGCACCGGATTTTGAGCCTCCAGTGCAAAGATATTATTATTCCTTCTAGGGAGAGCAATTTCTATATGCCAATCATTTGCTCTGGAGTACTGAAGCTTTTCAGGATGATTTTGGCCAGCTTTTCTGTAAGAATGAGGAAGTCTACTTTTGACATCATGGCCAAACTTTTTAGGAGTGGCATCCTTTGATATCGAATCACTGACGCTAGTGGCATCACCAAAGTCATCTTTATACAGATTTTCTGCATTGTGGACATCATTTGAACAGAGAAAAACAGCCAAATACTACTGTATAAGGATTAAGGAGACACAACAACAACACCAAGAACACCAAATACAGTAAATTCCCACATAGATTTGGGGAGGGTGTGTATGCAGACCTTACCCATACATGGAATGTATGAGTAGGCACAAAAGTGGAATTGTTTGAAGAGAGCAACTTAAAGGTCATGGAGGTGACTGAATATGACATGCGAGTCCAAGTAACAAATTATATTAGACATATACAAATACAACGTATGACATGTAAGTGGAGACTTAGGTAATGGTCCATGATTTGCACTTTGGTTTTACAATATCAATCTTATAATGTGAAAATGATAATAAGATGTTGATCTTAGAATTTTCTTCCCGTTATTCCTTCTTATCGGACATAAAACATGTACACTGCTTTTTGTATGATTTATTGTGCTAATCAACTTATACGATAAATTGGCCCTATAAATTTAATGCCAACAACTCCAAGTCGTTGGGATTAAGGAGCTAAAAATTATGATGATGATGATGATGACATTTCAACAGAGGTTTAGTTTTCTTTTTATTGTTAAACCCCAATGCATGGATTGCATGCATTTCAAAATGTTTACTTCAGAAGCTGTGATAACAAAGTTCCAAACCTTTGATAGATGATCCGGTTTCTGAAGGTTCATGTGTATCTGATACTCGAAGACTTTTCCAAAGGTGCAAGGCTTGCAATGCTGTGTCCCTGACAGGTTTCACCTGGAAAAAAAGAGCATATAAATCTAGAAGGTCCAAATTAAGATTCACAATATGGAACTTCTATGTTTCAAAAGGACAAGATAACTGTACTAAGTCCTCACCTTGTCAAATCGGCAGGACTCGAGACAACGGATGCAAGAAGTTTTGAAAGACCCATAGACTGGTCCTCCACTAGAAGCAATCTCCCCTAATGCAGCACATGCAGATTTTCTAGTTGCCCAGTCGCTGTTCTTGAGTGCATCTTGTATGCTCATTATTGCAGACGATAGAAGATTAAGTGAAGGAGCACCACCAGCCTGAAAACATGAACATGGAAATAGGAATCCATTAGTCGTGCTACAAAAGATATGCACTTTTCATGAACAAGATAATCAGCTTTTGGCATTTTAGTATCCTAACAATGCAAGTCCACACTTGCAAAAATGGCATGTTTAGTGTTTATTCCTTTAAAAAAATGCAGCAATAACGAATAACTCACTTGAATTATACTTCTATTCAACTCAATGACTGCAGGCTTTGCCATGAAGTGTGGATTTTTGAGCAACTTAACAGTTCTAGCTAACATCTTCTGTAAAACTGATGTTGAGGGATTCAGGATATTGTCTATGACCCGGGCCAAGCACAGTGCAGAACCTGCCTGCACCTGCTTATTTTGCTCTCCTAATGCCTCAAAAAGAGGCCTAACAAGGGCAACAAAAATTCCATCATTTTCATTATCACTCCCAGCACGGCCAAGTTTAGCAGCCAGAACACCAACTGTCTCCACACAAGCATCCCTTACAGAAGAATCTGAATCCTTCAGCCGCTTAACAATGCTGGTCATCATCTTTGACAGATGAGGCCCAATAAGGTTGTTATGGAGACTGGCCAGGATTCCTATTAATCGAATGCATTCCTTACGAACAGCACTTTTCTGTTCGGAATCTGTATCTAAAATGCAAGACAGAAACGGGGCAATCCCATTTGGGGGCAAGCACTCAATAATTTTCTCAAGATCATCCACAGCAATCTGATAGGTATCCCTATCAGCAAGCTTGTTCAGTGCAACGACAGCCCGATGCTTAAGTTCAAAGGCAGCCTGTTGGCCATTCCCCCTCATGCTTCCTTTTTTCATCATATTTTTCATTTTCCTAGATTGAATCCTCAGTTCATATATTCCCAGCTATATCCTGCATAATCATCATAATCCATCACAAAATATACTCATTACTAATGTTGTTCCACCAAAAAAAAGCTCCCAGGGAAAAATTTGAAAAAGGGAGAACCTCATAAGAATATCCACATGACCTATTTAATCAATGCCTTTGTCAATACAAAAAGGAAAAAGGTACTGCGTAATGTAAAAAAGCAGGTCTACGAGCTGATTAAAAAATAGATTCAAAGGAAAACTATAAAAAAAAATGCAGAATACAAGCGGGAGTGCGAGACATACCTTATATAGACTACACTTTCATCTTCCATTCTAGGCACCTGCTGAAGAAATAAAAGCGAATTCGAGTCAAAACTAAGAACAAAATACTGAAAATTGGAAAAATGAAACCGAAATCGAAGGTTCAAAAGGAAGCACAAACTGAATCACGCGAGCACCATTGGAAGCAAAGTGAATTCGTCTGAAAATCTGAGGAAAAAAGACTAGGAGATGCGAGGAAGAAGAAGAAGAGGAAGGAGACAAGATATTTAGGAAGGAATTTGGAACTGAAAGAGAGCACCGAAATTCCTTGAACTGGACAACAAATTTGAAATTCTAAACGGGGAAAAAGTTACTGCGGTTTTACCCCCTGCGCGGCCTATTATATGTACTGCACGTCTGCACCAACTTCAAAATTTTCAACACACGAGTCCTAATTTATTACTGCTGTAGTAGAACTTTGTTGAATGGTAAAAAAGGATAGATCTGAATTTAAATCTTGATAATTACTCCGTATCTTTATAATAATCTCTGCAACTACTACCTGAGATAAAACCTTCATTTTTTCACTATCAATTTTTACAAAAGTGGAAAACTAGTCACCGAAAAATAAATGGTCTTGAGAATTTCTAAATTGTACTGATAATTAAGAATAATGTTTAGTTCAGTCCATCGATTAGCGGTAATTAAAAAACGTTAAAGCTTATACTACTTTCTCAAAATAATACGTAGTACTTTCTAACTAAGTGTTTTGTCAAATTGGTCCATTTTCGAAATACGATTATATTAATTATGAAATATATTTTATATTTTATAGGATGATAATATAATACTAAAAACTATGAATATAATTTTTTAAATTTGAAAGTAAGGTTTTAGATTATTGACAATTATTCAAAAGAATATCAGATAAACAAAATATTTAATAAACATTGAAGAAAAAACCCTAGGAGTAAAACATAGAGAAGGCTCTCCTATTTTGGCACTTTTTTTATGTTTTACTTCTATTTAGGGTGATTTCTTTAACGATTATTAAATATTTTATTTACATGCTATTCTTCTAAATAATTATAAATATTTGAAAACATTTACTTTTAAACTTATAAAATTATATTTAGAGTTTTAAGTATTATGTTGTCATAGAATTTTAAAAAACAGAGTTAGAAAGCATCATTTTAGAAAAGTAGTATAAAATTTAATGTTAGTTTAATATCATTTTAACTGTCGTTAGTCAGGAGACTGAACTAAGCATTATTTTTTATTAACAAATACTCCCTCTGTCCCAATTTAAATCGCCTGTTTTGATTTTTGGGCATATTTAAGGAAAATAAATATAGGGTTGATTTTCCAAAATTGTCATTACTTTTTAGAAGTGGTGATGATGAATGAGAAGATAAGGTGAAGAAGAATGACTTATTTTAGGGGTAGTTTAGGTATTTTATTTTTAAAAGTTTACGAAAACAACTAACAGGCAACTTATTTTGGGACGGAGAAAAAAGGCAAACAGGCAATTTAAAATAGGACAGAGGAAGTATCATCTTACGAAGTACTCCCTCCGTCCTAAAACTTTCTTCCCACTTTCCCTTTTTCTCCGTCCTAAAACTACCTTCCCATTAGAAAAAAAAGATAACAAATGACATTAATACCCTCATGTATTTACACCAATTATCTTCTAACTCTATATTTTGAATGATTGCAAAAAAAATTTGCAAAAAATCTTTTTTAAGAGGGGTAAATTTTGAAATCAAAGCCAAAAATTAAAAATGAGGAAAAGTCAAACTGGGAAGAAAGTTTTAGGACGGAGGGAGTAACTAATTTGAAAAAACATATAGTTATCCAAGAGAACCTTATTCTCTTTAAAAAATCACTCATAGATGGTACTAAGTGTACGTAGGCTAGGAGAGATTGAGGGTGATATTTTATCTTTACCTGCCCCACTACCATAAACGAGTATGGAGAGAGGAGCGGTGATGGGCCCCGCGTGTTTGTTTTCACAGTTGAGTTTTGGCGGTCCCGGAAACGTTGGGCCCCCCGTCCAAAACGGAATGGACAAATGAGAGCATGAACAATGGTAAGGAAAAAAAGAATGTCACACGCTGACATGACATAAATCAACCAATAAAAAATGATCTAGTCAGAGAGTGGCAAGTGAGTGGAGTGGCACACCCTACAGTGGCAAGTCGTTACTTTAATCATTTTTTAAAATTTTTGTAATGTATTTTAATTATTAAAAATAATTTTTGCTATTTGTCTCATTAAAAAAATACTTCTACTTCCTTACAAAAAAGTGTTTTTTTATCAAAAAATAAAATAAAATTAAAAAAAAAAAGAAAAAGAGGCGTGGGAATGGGTGGGATGCCTTGCAATTGACTTGCTCACCGTGGGGGAATGGTCTTCTTCTCCATGCTAAGCATGGCAAAAAAAAATTGGGAGCTGATGTGGCAAGCGTGGCAGGCATTTGCCTCGCCCGCTGCCACTGCTCTGACAATGGCCTCTTTTCAAGTCAAGCCTCGCCACGTACTCTCCCGTCTTACGTAGTATTTAATGGCTCCTAATTTCTTACAAATTCTTTCTTGTTTTGATATTTGATTAGAATTATCTCAAATTATTTTATATGAAAAACAATGTAAAATTTAAAAATAAAAATTATATATTTAAAAATAATATCAAAAGATCTACAAATTAGATTTGACATCATTATATTTTTTATAAACTAAGCAACGAAAGTAGACTTATAAAACGAATAAAGTTTAACCATGTAAATAATAAACGGAAAAATAATTTTTGAACGAAGGAAGTAATTTACAAGTACAAAAATAGAATACTACTCTTCATCCAAAAAAATTATTTTCAATTTATTGTTTACAATTTCTTATTTTTTAAAAATTTTGATACTTTACGAGTATCTTTTTATTTGACATAATAATTACCTTTTCTTCAAAAAATTCAACTATTTACATTTTTTACCTCATTTCAAACGCACACGGAAGACAATTTTACTTTATTCCTAAAATCCATTTTAAAAAATTATTTTATTAACCGGAACTGAAAATTTTACTCCCACCGTCCCAAAATAATGGCATGTTTCATTGTACAATGTTTGACTAAATTTATTTTCAAATCATTTTATTTGAGAATTGTGGTGAAATTAAAAAAGTAAAAATTACATATTTAAAAACTACATCAAAAATTTTACGAAACAAGAAACAACATGATTATATAATTTTATCACATGAGTAACAAAAAAGATAAAGAAAATTTATAAAGTTTGATCCTATAAATAGTAAACAGACAACTTATATTGGGACAGGATTGTAATTTAAAGTAAAATAAGTCATAAAAATGATATTTTATCCTTAACCTAAATGACTACATTGGTTTACTAAAAAAAAGTAGAGTCATACCTCCAATTCCACTTATTTGAAACATGAGATATTGACAAATGAATTTGGATAACACTATGTGGTTGATACTATATCCATGCCTATACACCTCCAAATCTCCAATAAATAAACTTTAATTAAACTAAACACCATCATTAAGACAAAACAATTAAGACATCAAAGCACATGTAAGTAGGGGTACCACTCTAAATTATTACTGTTTTATTATTTTTCACACACCAAACAGTCAGACACCGACACATTCCCACAACTGTTTTCACACAATACAACCTATAGAAAAAGGGCACTTTTTTTTTGTGTGTGTCACACAGAAGGTAAATGGTCTAAACATTTAAGGGACCTGATTGAATTAGTGACGGTCTTCGTCCATGGGATGGCTTCTGCCACTTGTGTGAGAAGATAGCAGTTCCTCGTCATTGCTGCTGGGCTGCAATGTTCCAGAAACAGAATCTTCCAGCGCCTCCAGAAAGGATGGGACTGTGAACTTGTCTGCAACAAGTCGCGGTGGAGGGTGAGATTTGGTTTGCATTATACGAAGAAAGCATAAGTGCCTAATGGCAATTGAAGTTTTTTTTTCAATGGCTTACATTGAGAAGGATCAATTCCAAATTGAGCCAGATCAACCTGGCCTGTCTGAAGAACCTATAATCATATAAATAAAGTAGCATTTAACGTTTCTATGGTGTCTCATGAACTGTGTTTTAAAGATTACTTTGGATGAAGAGTTCCAGGTGTTAATGGTTTGGATGACAGAGTACATTTATTGATACATACTTTGTAGTATAATCTTTCTAAAAATGAATGTTGATGCGATCACTCGTTATGTCATTCCTTCCATTTTATAAAATATCAATTACATGTCAACATATATACGTAGCTCTCCAAAAGACCGAAACCATCTCAAAAACCCTTCATCCAAATTGACCTCTTAGGTCAATTTGTATGGAGGGGGGTTTGGGCAGGTTAGGTCCGAACATGAGATTTTATAGAAAAATTATTCATTCACTTAATTAGTTTTCAGTATTTATTAAAATTCTAAATATAAATTAGCCCTCTAAAACATCAAGTCGAAACATTCCATAAAGCATATAATATGACATGAAGAATCTTTATAACTCACATAAGTAAATGAATCTACTTGTTGGCGAAATGGGGGGCTCTGCAATAACTCCAGCAACTCCTCGTGATTCCATTGTCCCTGATAGTTGACAAACATTTTTTAAAATGCTAGAAATGTGAACAGAATCTTATCACCCAAAAAAATCAAAAGTGCATGCTAAATTGTTGACCTCGGGTAAATATGTAGCTAATTGTTGTTGCAGTGGTAATTCCTCAATCAGCGGAGATAGAAATTCAGGCCTCAAAATATCGGCTAATCCCATGCCTTTGAACAAATTTAAAAGGTAATCAAGTCAGTGACTAGTAATTACAGAGTAATACTTTAAATGCGATGATATTTGGTTCAATGTCTTAAAAGTTATAAATAGTATTACAAAGCCGCCACTTGTTTAAGAATAAAACTATTACCAGCATCTGGATCTACAACTTCATCTGCACCAATGCATAAAAATCAGCATTTTATCAGAGACATTCGATAACAGAGAAAAAAATAATATAAACAGTAAACAGAACCTGTTGATCCTATGTTACTCAATATCCTTTGTAAATCAGCCAGCTTTACAGGTCCAGAAGACGTTACATCACTGGTTGCATCAGTACCCATGCTTGGCCCAACCAAATTTCCTGCTCTGAAAATTATTGAAGGTATATGTATGCATGCGCCAGAAACAGAGTGTAGAATCGGGAAAATTTTTAATTTGGAAGGCAAAAAACTAGAGATGGTAAGTCGAAAACAGAAACTTCAACAGAAAAGTCAATCCTAGCTAAATGTCTCGGTGTGTCCATAACAATATCGGTCAACAATCAATTTCAACTTCATATTCCCATTGAGTAACACTTGCCCAACACTCCATTATCTCAGACCACGCAATGACCAAGATGGTTTCTCTCAGCCTTCAACATTCAGATTTCGTGAATTTATTAGGATTGCAGTTCATAAATACAATGTCAGTTGTTGAAAGAAACATTATTCCCACTTCTATGCTTAAAAAGTAGTACCCCAAGTACCCTTTTTGATAGGTCGGCAGAGTGCATCATTATATAAATTATCTGCCTAGTAAAATATTACTCCAGATATAATATTAACAATAAGAACCAAACCCAGGCAACGAAAGCACATTTATTTCAGAAGGCAAATGCAGATTAAAAGGCATATGCTTTTCATTAGAATATGGTCATATACCCTTGCAAAAAAGCTTAATGTGTATTTACATGAGATCAACTTACCTAGATGAAACATCATCTTCAGCCATATCATCAGAATTCTCCATAGGAACAGAAGCTTCAGGCTCATCTTCTGTTGAAATGTGTTTCAAAAATTAACATCCATACATAATAACAGTCACAAACTGATGGCTTAGATCTTAAACTCCTAGAAGTGAATTAAGAACATATAGATCAGCTTTAGCTAGCCTATACTGTATGCTTCCTCCATTCCAAAATAACCACACCATTATAATTTTCACACTAGCATGAATTAAATGATTAATATATTTTAGTTAAAATGACACCCCCTCCGTCCCGCAAACAAAGTTATAGTTTGACATCACGGAATTTAAAAAAAAGTTTTGAAAAGTAAAGAGTGTGTGGGTAGAATTTGTTTGAATAGAGAAAGAGAGAGAGGTTGTGAACGACATACTCCTTCTGTTTAATGGAGAGAAATAGAGTGGGAAGTTTGTTTTGGGACGTACAAAGAAGGAAAGTGAGAATTTCTTTGTGGGCGAGGGGAGTAAAAAATTGATATTACGAAAGTTTTTTTCGAGATGAATCTCTAAAGATCACACATGACTATTTTACTAGCATACAACAACAACCATGTTGAATCCCACTACAGTAGGGTTTGGGGAGGGTGTGTGTACGCAGACCTTGCCCCTACTCGGAAGTAGGGAGGTTGTTTCCAAGAGACCCCCGGCTCCAACTGCACAAAAAATATGATAAGAATCACAGTATAACACAGATAAAGCACCAAGTACAATGGAATGAAAGTCCTGCAAGCAATAGCAAAAAATTCCAACCAAACAAAACACACTACAAAAAACCTCTGAAGCGCCCCTATCCAGCTACTCTAATCCTAGTTCTCCAAAAGTTCCTATCTAAAGCCATATCCTCAGTCAGGGTGAGAAGTCCTAAATCCTGCATAATCACCTCCTTCCCATTCTTCCTAGGTCTACTCCTTCCCCTACTTCCCCCGACAACCGTAATCCTCTCGCATCTCCATACAGGGGCGTCAACAATCCGCCATCTCACATGACCAAACCATCTCAACCTCGCTTCCCGCAGCTTATCTTCCACCGGCGCCATGCCAATGGATCATAAAAGCTAGTCAAATGAGAGCTTGTGAATAGTGTAAAATTTTGACCGTTGTGATTATTTTGGAATAAAGGACGTATATACTCCGTAGCATACAATGTTTATTGCAATACAATATCTAAACACGCCCAATGAACAAGATTTAAGCAGAAAAGTGAGGTAAAAGAGTGTGAAGTATTAGAAATAAATTTATTCCTACCAAATGGTTGATTCAGGTAGAAGTTGACTGAGCTGCATAATTGTGCATCATTGTCATCTCTTGGCTCCTGCAATAAAATCAAATATTAAGTAAGTTTATCACATATAAATGTGGTTGCATACAATAAACTTGCTTTAAAAACGAACCTGCATCCAGTAGAAAAACTTCCTGTCGTCTGTAAGAAATTTTAAAATATAGACCCTCCCAGAAGATTGATTAACCTGAACAGCTCAGAAGCAAAGATAATCAACGATTTACTCATGTAAAACTATTGTACTCACAGATTGCTAATTACCTTTTCAAAGACTGCCTCCTCGGGGACAATAATCTGGTCCTAATGTTTGGTTAAGGGAAATTTTCTAGGCCAACTCAATTAGAAATGCAGAGCAACTTGGTTATTGATAGAATTTGGGATGGGTATGGACAACTGGATTGGGCAATAAGACACTTGGGCTGAACCACATTAAAAGATTGAATCCAATCGATTAGCTAGTTCAACTCTAGAGCTTATATACCAATTATTTTACTCTTGGATTTCTGATGTGGGATGTACTCTAACACTCCCCCTCAAGTGGACAACCGGGCCATTTTGAATCTAACCGGTTGACCACTTGCAAATGAACTCCCATTCCCTTGATTTTTTTTGTTTTTTGAGTGCCAACACTTAAAGGACCATGAGCCGCTGGGTATGGACTTCTAGACAAGCAATCGTGTTAAACAGGCCACAGGCCGTTGGGTACATACTCCATACAGACAACTGGGCTAAAGACAAACGGGCCGCTAGGAATGAACGTCTAGACGGACACCTTGACAAACGAGGTGGGCTAAAACTGGCTCTGATACCATGTCAAGGAACCAACTCAACCACAAGCTCAAGCTTGTGGTTGTGGCCCTGGAATGGTTGTTATATACTCTAACATGCCCCCTCACGTGCAGGCGTGACTTCTTTGAACCTTGCACGTGAAACCTTAATTTTTTTAAACTGGGTGGCGGTGAGTTTCGAACTCGTGACCTCTTGGTCATCAAGGCTCTGATACCATGTCAAGGAACCAACTCAACCAAAAGCTCAAGCTTGAGCTTGTGGTTGAATGAGTTCCTTGACATGGTATCGGAGCCTCGTTGACTAGAGGTCCCGGGTTCGAAACTCAGCGCTACCCTATTTAAAAAAAATTAAGGTTTCACGTGACGGCTGCACGTGAGGGGGCGTGTTAAAATATAAATAATTGTTCCTGAACCACAACCATAAGCTTGAGCTTTTGGTTGAGTTGGTTCCTTGACAGTTATCATTAGAGAAAAATGGAGTGTCGTCTAACATAGAGATTCTTTACTTCAGCAAAAGATTTTAATGGAAAAAAGGATACATCTTCAACCACAAAACATGAACGATCCAACCATTGGAAATGAACAAGTCCTTCCTCGTCCTAGAATCAAAAGACAAAGGAACACGTTTAAGAACACGAGAAGCAATGGTCTTTCATAAACTATTATTTCCCGTCAAAAGAGCAAGGGAAGATTATATCTATATATGATTTTTAGTATACTTAGGAAGATACTTCAATTTCTCAATTAAATAAAATGTTAAACAGAACAAACATCAAATCTTAAAATCGAATACCTTGCCAATACGAACGAGTCCTTTCCGTGAATCGGGGACAACTCGCTTTCCTTCCATTTGCATTTTTCCTGCTCGGAATTCAAGCAAGATCTCCTGCACCATGTAATAGAAAAGAATGTCATCTATAAAAATTCTCTACATGATTCAAATAAAGGTATGACTTTCTCGTTTACACATACTGATGATAGAGAAACAATTTACCAATACAGTTTGGGTTTATTGATTCTTCGAGGGGGAAAAAATTATTGAGAAAGATACTCCATATGACATTCGAAATGCACTAGTTTATGATGTCTATTAGTAAAGAGAACGGAAATGAGATGCATGAATCGACTCAATGTATAGAGTAAGTTCTAGTGGTTTACTCCAAATACTAAGAGAGCTTTTTAAGGTTTCTTATTTAACAGTAGTTTTTAGAGGGAAAACACTTGCGTTCTAAAAAATGTGTTTGGCAAGTAAAAGAAAAGTGTTTTCAGCCTTTAAATGTAGTTTTGTGCTTAAAGCAACAATATGGTGCTTTTTGATCTGGAAAAATGAAAATCACCTTCAGTGCTAACATGAAAAAGCGCTTTCTCGCGAAACATTGCTAAGATATTTCTTCTGAATGGTCACTTAAGAATTAAAAACAAGCCGATCGGTCCAACTGCTTGAAAATGCTTATAACTTATAAGCATCTCTTATTGGTTCTATTGGTAGCAGATGACCACTATGGTCCAACATTCTCTATGGTGTCGCCACCGACCACTAAAAGAGAGTATTATACAGACAGTAGGTATTATCTCCCTGCAATATAGAAAATTACTGAAAGAGAGAATTGACACCTCAATTTGAGGATAAGCATCCAACGATGAGGAATTCATAATCAGAATCTCGAGACTACAATTCTTCCGTCTCCTCAAGACAGCTGAAAACAAAGAACACACATGTATGAAACTAAACGAGGGATGAATCAAAGCAACAATCCAGCTATGTTCATCGATTTTTTCTACTGCTTAAGAGTTCCTAGGTTAAACAAACATAGTAATTTTTCGTAAATAATGAAGTTATATAACCCTAATTGAATAGCAGTGGAATATTGCTAACAGAGCTTCTCCAGGTTACCTCTCTTGTGTCTTCAATGGAAGATTTTCTGGTGGAAATCGGAAGAATTATTTCCAGCGCTGCAAATTGTGTTTTTGGGCAACGACTGGACACGGTTGGGTTGCGACGGTATGGGCTCAGTTCTGTGACCCGATACAAAGGACGCATAAAAAGTACTCTGTTGATACGGGTTGAGGTAATTTGGTAATTTGAAAGCATAGATATGGACAATGAAGTCTGAAATATGTATTGAAAAATGCTAGGGGTACACCAAAAGGTGTACTCCAATTATCCCCCACCCCCTCCTTGTCCACAATAATTGGCAAGAGATTTAAAAAAAATTAAAAAAATAAAAATCAAATAGAGATGTGTGGTGGAGAAGCATGTGGTGTACAATTGGGGTACACCTTTGGTGTATCCCTAGCATTGCTCATATGTATTCACCGATTTCACCGGTAATAGGAATAATAAAATAAGATTTTTATATTTTTATCTTCAAAGGAGGAATTTGCATTGTGATAACATGACACTGTATATGGACATTTCAAAATATTTTTTGGTAATGTATATGATCATGATTGGCACTGTATTTGCATTTTAACTCATATTTTATGAATAAAAACATATAAATCTTATGTTATTGTAAATTCGATGTTTTACTTCTATTTTAGTTAATTTTCTATCAAATTGAAGTCCAATTATATTCTGGTCGAGTATGGGTCATTTATAAGAGCCCGTTGAAACAAACTCGTATCAAATAAGGAAGACTTCAACCATCTTCGAGATGTAAAAAAGTTGAGACGAGGAAAGAGAAGGGAAACGGAGGCAGCGCCTAGCGAGGAACTAAGGGGGAGAAGAGACTTTAGGGTTTGAAATTTGTTTATTGATTGGTTTTTCTAATTCATCTCTATTTAAAAGAGATGAAAGAACTTTAACATTAATCAAAGTATAAACCTAACTTGATAGTTCAATAAAAGTGACGAGATAAAGATCTGCAAAAAAAACTTTAAAAGAGTTTATAACTTTGCTCATCTAATAAAACCAAGATTACACTAAATAATAATGAATATTACTACTAACAATATTAACTACTAAATGCATAACTAAATATCCAATTCTACCATCAATACCACCCTTTTGGTAAGCGCATTTAAGTTCTAATATATGCCAATATCAAAATTCTTATATTGGTGTTTGTTGAATTCAAATAAGAATTAAATTGTATATCCTTATAATATCATAACTCATTCAAATAAGCATTTTTATATCTTATAGCAGTGAGATAGATAAACTCGAAATCTTGATATCACCGTCAACCGCTATCATACTATTTGTCTTTGTTCATCATTGGTCAATGCTTGCCCAACACTAATTAACAATATCATTTTTGTTATATTTCATAATTGTATTATACTTCCTCCGTCCTAATTCTTTCTTCCCAGTTTGACTTTTCCCCATTTTTAATTTTTGTCTTTGACTACAAATTTTACCCTCCTTAAAAAAGATTTTTTGAATTTTTTTTACAATCATTCAAAATATAGAGTTAGAAGATAATTGGTGTAAATACATGAGGGTATTAATGTCATTTGTCATCTTTTTTTTCTAATGGGAAGGTAGTTTTAGGACGGGGAAATAGGGGAAGTGGGAAGAAAGTTTTAGGACGAAGGGAGTATTATATTTCGCTCATTAAGCGTGTCTTAAGTGATTTAACCTTAAAAATATGTTATGTGTGAATTTATTTCTTGAAGTATGAATGGATAAATACAAGGAAATATTCCCATGTCTTTGTTTACCTGATCAGAATGGTTCTAATCTGATTATAAAATGTTTTAATCTAATCTGATGTGATCTAGGTGTAGTTAATCTATTTTTGAACCGATCTCGTGTAATCTGATTCTAATAAGAATAAGTAATAAGTAAAAAAATAAGTTGATGAGAACATGACCTTCATACCCATTTATAGCTATTTAAGAGTGATTCGTGGTTGATCAAATGTACTCCATTCGGTAGCTAACTACCAGCTACGGGTTGTTTGGGTATCGGTGTTGTATAAGTTAAAAGTTACGTTTTTGGTGTTATAGACTTTCACTCGTACGCGTAGGACCTCTACTGCTACCTAGTATATAGGTACCATCCATTATTAGTTTAGTGCTGATCAGAGTTACAACCACCATCATTTGTTTTATTAATCTCGATTTTTAAACGACGCATTTAGAAACATTTCAAAAATGTTTTCAATGTAAGGGCAAAGGTGCTTCTAACATTTACAATCTTACCCTTAACAAATTCTAAGTATGCTCATCTTAAAAACTTTTTTGAAAAGTGTCACGAGATTAGTGGGGTGTTTTGAGAGTTTTATATTCATGCAAAATTGAAAGACTTATTTAGCATATCAAAAATACAAGACCAACACTTAAGTGTACAATTTAGATGAAAGTTTCCCTTCCAATATAAATATTACTCTCCCCTCATTTGTAACATATCCCAAACTATGTGTTGTGTACTTGTGTATGTACATTTAATTTACTTGCTTCTCGCGCCATTGTATGGCCAAGCGCAAATATCTATGGGACTAATTTTAAAAACCATTACTTCCCATGTTGAAATTAGAGGACCACTATTACATTTAGTTAGGGGGTGTTTGTTTTTTCTGCGGGAAAAGGTCTGCAGTCTGCGGACCACTACTGTAGACATCTGCAGGAGAAGTGGTGGACCGAAGGTCTGCGGTCTGCAAGAAGAAGACTGTTTGTTTTTTAATGTCTGTATATTGCTATATAAATTAATAGTAGTAGTGTACGGTAGTGGTGTATGGACGATTGTGGTGGTGGTGGAGGGTGGTGGTGAAGGGTGGTGGTGGACGTTGACGGCGGTGGTGGTGGACGGTGGTGGTGGTGGCGGTGGATGGT